GAGGGGCCAAAATTCCTCCACAGTGATGTGAACAACTCACTCAGTTATCACAAACACTTGATTGCAGTTCTTGGTGACAAAGGTGTCACAGCCAGCTATGACATTTAGGGGCAATTATTTTTTCACACACAGTTCTAAAACAGTAATTTATATTTACTAAGTTTATGTTTGTCTAAAAATGCAAAATTGTTTGATGATCTGAAACATGCCAGCGTGACAAATATGCAAAAAAGGAAAAGAAAAGGAAATCGTGAATAATAAATAATTTTCCACAGCACTGTAGGTTGTTTAGACTCTAAAACCCATGTAGACTGATTCAGTATGGAAATAACTGTTATTTCGATTTCTTTTAATATGATTATACACGCTGGCTGCCCTGTCCTAGTCAAAGCTAATCTACGACTCTTTGATCAAAAATGGTCTGAGAAACAGTTAAAATAATATTAAAAGTCACAGCAACGTTTCTAAGCAACACCTGCACTGTTCTTGAAGAAAAGAAAAAAAAAAAGTATATTACTTATGGTGGAAATTAGAGTCTGCCTCATATATTCCTGCAATTTACTCTTTCATATGCTCTCACTGATGGTACCGTCCGCTCTGATTCAGTCAGGAAGAGAAGCAGAATTATTCCACTCAACCAAACATACAAAGATAAAGTCTGGTCACAGATAAGTGCTGGACACACTGCGTGCCACTGCAGTCAAGACGAGTCTAGACAATATTTTCTATTAACAACACAGTTTAAAGCTCTGTCTCTACGGGAAGTGCCTGAATGTTTTTCTGTTTGTCTGTGAGACGCTGAAAAGCTACTAAGACACAGACAAACGCAGGATGCTAGATGATGCAAAAGCCAAAGCTTTAAAATGAAATTTTATGTTTTAAATCTGCAATTTTTGATCTCCCTTTTGTGACCCAAGAAGACAACTAGCATCATCACATATTCAACATCTGCTTTTTAAGGTTAACGCTGTTATTTACATAAAGGCATTCATTCAAAAGGCTTTTACTGAAACTCAATTGAGATTTTTTTTTAATGGCAACTATGATTCACATAAGACTCTGACCTGCAGTAGAAGCATACGGGTGGGTTTGGCTTCCCAGGGCCTCTGGGTGGTCTGTGTGACTGCAGACACCTCGTCGTTGACACAATCTGTGCCCCTCCACTTCTGCAGCTGACCATACGCCGGCTGACTGATGTCCAATAATGAGTCGACCTAAAACAGAGTTGGATCTCTTGTCATGTTTCCATTTGCGTGCACGATGATCAACCGAGCGTTGGTGTCACCAGCAAGGTGAGTTATCTGTATGCACAGCCCAAATTAATCATCACCATTAACTCAAGCGCTATATTTCCTCAAGAGCTTGCTTTGCAATTTTTTCCCTCTCCGATGCAGGCAAAAAAGCCACAAAAGCAAAAGTAACAACAATAACAAATGTACACACAATACACACAAAAACTCAAATTTTAGACTACTTTCAAAAATTACGGGTCAGTTAAATAAATGCAGCAGGAACGCCTAAATACCCCCCTCCCAATGTGAAAAGCTGAGTGACTTGCCTTTATGTGATTTAGCTCAGGTTTTATGCTGTTGGTACACATATTGTTCTCAGCCTATTGTTTGCTGTTTTTACATGCTTTTTTTAAATTTGGTTCTTTTTTGTTGAAAATATGACCAGAACTGTCCCCAACAACAACAAGAATAAATAAAGAAACTGGATGAACTATGTAACATGAAAGTTTGTACCTGGACGCAGAAGGTGCCACTGAGCTCAGTCTTCTGGGCTTCAGCGAGCCCTTCAGGCAGGACAGGAAAGTCCAGGTCTCTGAGGTCTGTTAACAGCCATTGGTCCAGCGCCTGAAAAACCACATCAAGCAGTGAGATTCATTTTTGGTTCACTTACTGTCATTCAGCAGCAGTTACACATAGAGTGGACCTATTATGTTCACTTCCAGTCCCATAATTTATTCTTTTGTTATATGTATATGTATTTTAAATGACACACAGTTAAAACAACCCTTTATTTTAAAGGAAGCTTTAGTGCAAAGCTACCTGCAGATACCGGTGACTCAGATCCAGGAAAAAAAAAGTAGAAACTCTACAGAAAAATGATTTAACAGAGTAAGAAAGAAATGTCACAGGGATTTGGATGAATTCAGTGCGTCGGTAGTGTTAGCAATGCCTGCAGATATTTTATTTCTTGTTTATAATATGAACGTGCTCTACAGAGTTGAGATCTCAGGACCACTTGAATGAACCGGCATGCTGCTGAAACCATGAGGTGATGATTTGTGCCTTGAAAAAAAACAAAACAAAACAAAACGAAAAAAACAAAACAAGAAACTTTGTCCTCTTCCAAGCATGTAGTGGAAAAAAATCAACAAAAAAAGACAACTTTGGCCAAAAAGGAGCACAGCTGTTCGACAACAATATTTTGGTACACTGTGTCATACAAATGATGCGTCAATACAGGGAAATATTCCCCACATGACGCCACCGCAAGCTGCGACAGCTGACGCCGAGTAGGATGGAATCATGCTGCCATCAGCTTGTTGTAACAGAAACCAGGATTTGTCAGACCAGAATGTGTCCTTTCACTCTTCAGTCACCCACATTTGCTCATTATTACCTACTCTAGCATGAGCTCCTTGTTCTCAGCTAACAGTGATAGAAATGTGTATGGTCTTGGGCTTCTGTTTCTTGGTTATCAGCCCCAGGGTTGTTTGAGTTTTGCCTTCTGCTAGCTGCATATTTGCAGTATGAAGATCACATGAATGCAAAAAAGGAAGAGACACCGAACTAACTGCTGTGTCACAGATGTTATTCAGCTCAGACTGGGTTATTCTACCAAGAGTGATAAAATGTGCATGAACGACATCAAATCCACATGTTCACATCGAAGCCAGTAACCATCTTTGAGGAAAAAGTGGGGTAACCATCCACCCCCTGACCACCTTCTATCATGTGACCCATACTTAACCCATGTCATAATAAGTGAGCGAACATCTTATAAGACAATAAGTGGAAACAAGACCTCTTAATCTATACTGGAGTTTCTGGAGCTGTGGAGAATTATCCCGAAACAGGTAGGAAAGGAATCCTGAGACTTTTGTTGACAAAAACAAAGCATTTGATTTCTGTCTATCGAGTTGTACACTGAGATAGTCGCACATCCTGCCTACCTGCTGGTTGGTTTGCTGCTGTGACAGATGAGCTTCTCCTCCTGCCTCTCCTTGTAGCCACTCCACACAGGCTTCTAGCCAGGCAAAGGGCACCTGGACATGCCAGGAGGACTGCAGCCATGCTTGGGTAGCACGGACCACTGCCTGAATCCCAGGAGTCATCTCTTCCTCTAAGTGTATTTGGCTCTCTTCTGCTTTTCCAGCTGCTTTCTGTCAGAATATACAGACTGCTTTAGCCACATTCTTATTCCGAAGCTGCTTTAGCCACATTATTTCAATTCAGGTATTCATATCATAGTCGCACTTCTCATTAATTACTCAATAACACATTTAGAGTTTTAATCATTCACAGTTTTTATTGTCATTCAGTCAATGAGTCACTGATGCATTGACTGAACAAAATTATGTGTGCAGAAAAAAAACACACACACAATCACAACAAAAGGTTAAAAAGACTGTAGTGTAACTGTCTATTACACAGTAAACACTAAAAAATTAATTAAGATGGTAGTGAAGAATAAAAAAATAAAAAATGTATTTACAAAAATATGTAAGTGTATAGCTGAGGTGTCTGGTGGTGGTCAGGTAAAAAAAATGCAACACAGTAGTTATCTGTAGTGCACCGTTTGTTTGTTTGTTTGTTTTACTTAATGTAGTTTTAAGTTGACTGTATTGTAAGTGCAAAATATGAGAAGAGATAAAATTCTACATTTAATTTACAATGATTCCTGAGCTGAGTCCCCAGTGACCCATGACGGATTAATAGTTACGCTGTGTTTTAACATGTTCGTTTTTAAATGAAGCCTCTTAGAATAAATTTAGCCTTGCAGTTTATCTTATTTTGTTTTCTAAGTGAGTACTCCAAATAGGCAAAAAATTAATAATAATTCAAGGTAAAGTGTTGAATGTTAACCCTCACTAAATTGCAGGATGCGCTTTTTTGTACACTAGTCTCTTTGTAAAGCCCTCAAACCACTGGGACCATTTAGAAAAGACTGTTTTATAACAAGAGCATAATATTATTGTATCTGATTGTTTTCTTGGGTTATTTGAACAAGGTAACCACACTGTCCCTGTACATGATCTTAAGCAGACGTAAACAGATGTTGCAGGACTGAACGGTTTATTAATTTTAAATTGAAATCGCCAATGAAAACAGTTCAATTACGACAAATATTTCGGATGTCTTTATCATTATCATTACCTTACAAAAATTATGTTTATGTCTTGCAGGTATTTCATGCAGTTGTGCTTTTAAACGTAAAGTATGAAAAACAAATGAAATTCAGCTTTGAGAATATGCATTTCAAATCAAATCGGGACTGCGAAAATATCAGAAAAATTATATATTTTTCCCAACATTGTCCAGCCCTGCTGTTGGAGAGCATGAAAGGGATATCGGGTTAGAAAAACTTTACCAAATAAAAGTGTTTATAACCATTTAGCTGGTATGTATATGTTACCTGAGAAGCACGGGGGCAGACTCGTCCATCAAGTATTGCACAAGTAGGTAGAAAGGCGCCAAAGTTGATTAACCCAGCCTACTTATATAACAAACCTGAACACAAGCATCCAGCAGCAGAGGTCCCTACTCACAACAGAAGGCCTTAAACCAAACACTCGTGTCGGAAAAACGTGACCATTAGCCTTGCAAATTGCATCTTTCTAAACTGGAATAACTAGAAGGGCCACAGTTAACAGTCGATCCGTGTCCGGAAACAGACTGGTATGTACCGCCTCGGTTCTCGTGATTGGCGTTCGTTGTAGCCAATCGGATTTATCGCCTGCTTGAGTCGCTCTCCGTTCAGCCAATCAGCACACGGTGAGTCGTCTTATCATTTTATTTCCAGGTTCGGTGGAGAAGGAAGAGGCAACTAGCGAGGTGTTTGCTGCAGGTTTGTGTTTTGAAGATATATATTTGTGCTTTTTGTTGTTGAACTGCACGGCTACTATAATGAGAACTACGCCTTTAATGTTTGTTTGCTCGCTGTGTTGCTTGTTTGGTGCAACCCGCTCTGCTTGGCTGCGTTTGTGCTGAACCGAAATTAAGGCAACATGGCGAAAGTAGCTAGCTGCTAGCGTGCGCGACTTAGTGTACTCTTTGTATTGATCGATTGGTTATATTTTAGCAACTCGTTCACGTTAGATCCGTGTCGCGTTACTGTTCGCATTTGAAGAGCTAAGTGGTGCAGAGTAGTAGGGAAGTTTTAAATTCCAATGTGAGCGCAAGAACTCGAAGCCTTTACCTGCGGGCTGGCTAGCTCCGCCGACGGCTAACCGCACCTTAGGCAACGGTCCCTATGTTAGCTTTAACCGGACCAGCTTACTTTCGATTTGGTCACCAGTTCACTATCTTTTGGCTGCTATTGGTTAATATAGTATATATTACTTATATTAAAAAAACAACCCTCGCCTTGTTGTTTTTAGCAATAAGTTATTTTTTGGTCTGCCATTATATGTTAGTGTTAACTATTTAACTCCTGATTATAAAGCTGTCGCGGTTTCTCCTCTCTTCAGCCAGACAAACCCCGTGCGTGATCACATTACAGCTGATAACATTTAGCAACGGTGTTCATTCTGATAACAGTGGTCTTAGTTGATTATCGGTCACTTCAGATAAAATATAAGAATTTAAACCCATCATTGGTGTTTACCGAACTGTCTTCTCGCGCTCTCTATTTATATGCCATCATTTCAGTATTTTAAATTAGCCTCTCCCTCTCTTTCAGGTCGCAGGAGTTGTTTGGTTCTTGCTCCGGTAGTTCCGCCTCTCAACACGCCCTTGTTCTCCTAATAAATATCGGTGAGTCTCTGGGATCGGCCAGTTTCTTCCATGTCAGTCCTGCGATCTACTTTACTCAGATGATTTGTCTAATTTCTTCATTTTTTTCTTGCTCTTACAATGATAACAAAAAACCTCAGCTCACAGGGGCCAGTTTTCTGCTTCTCCCTCCCAATTGCTACCATCTCTATCCCTGATCGAGGTGTTTGGCTCTTCTATTCTTCTGTTAGAAGACGATGGAGACAGATATTGATCAGCAAGAAGAGGCTTCATTCAGCAACACAGAGACTAACGGTAAAAACCTTATTTTAAAGTTTTGCATGTTGTTTAAATACATCAGATTTTGGACACGGTTGGCAAATCTGTGTATTTGGAGATTAAAGTAATTGCTTTTTTATGTTACAGTAAGGGATCTAAATATTCACTGGTCTATGTTTAAAATTGTGTTTGTGTATTAAAAGAAGTCTTTTCTTTCTTAGATGTGCAGAGGGAGATTTGTATATGTTTAGCTTATAATGGGAGAACAGTTTGAAATCACTTTTCTCTTTCGACTGAATAGTTAATTTATCTTGTTGAAGCGTGTGTGTGCACGTGCACGCTGGCGCAGTGTTGTCATGCTGTGTTTTTATCTCCTTTTGCCAGGTAAGCGCCCCGCTGAGGATGCAGATGAGCAGAAATCATTCAAGCGCTCCAGGAACTCGGATGAGATGGTTGAGCTTCGCATCCTCCTGCAGAGCAAAGTAAATCAGCTTCTCTTTCATTTCACATTTCATGTTGAATCCTTATGTGATTATTTATATTTTTGTCTCATTCTTGTGGGTAGCCCTTCAGTAAGACTGACAATGTCTCCTACTCAGACCATTTTGTTTTTTGTTTTAAATGTATTTTTCATGGTTTTCTTTCTGTTCTCCTCATTACATTTATGCCTTTTGAATAATTAATTTCCAGGCTTCATTATATTCATAAAGTACTTCTCCTCACATTTAATTGTAATGTCTTTTAATTGCAGCACCATAATTAATATTTACTCTTCTTATCTGTTCTTTGTGTTTTTAGAATGCAGGAGCTGTAATTGGGAAGGGTGGCAAAAACATCAAAGCCCTGCGTACAGACGTGAGTACATCTATTCTATGCAGCCTGAATTTTAATTTTGTTTAGGATTTTAATTTTTTATTCGATAGTTTTTCTATCTCTATCTCCTCCTCTCTTTCCACTGGCCTCTAAAACCTGACTAGCCTCTCTTATGGGACATAAGTTTTTGTTTAATTTTTATTTATTTTTTTACAGTAATAGCTATTCAAATATATTTAAATATTTAGCTTTTGTATTTTCTTACATGTAAACAAGGCAGTGCATAGCTGAAGCAAAGTTTCTAAGCCTCCTGTTCATTAGGTCCTCTGACAAACCAGTTGGGGTTGTGTTTATCTTTGTTTTGTTTTTCTTCTCACATAAACATTATGTAATCATCTAAGCTAAACTATCCCTAGGCACAAAGGCTCAATTTCATGTCCATTTGTTTCTTCACAATGATAATTTATTGTCACACTGCTGTTGTGGAAACACTGGTGCTCCTGTTAATTTAAATTTATGAGCACAGTGCTGAGTTTGTAAGGTCACCTGCTGCTCAAGCTAACTTTTTTTTCCCTTCTTTTTTTTGTGTTTAGACAAACAGGCCAGTTGTTAATTCATTGAGTTTCATTGACTTTCTCTAGCCCTCAGCAATTTGTTGTCCCCCTCTTTTCTCACTGTCTCTGGTTTATTCCCCAACATTGAACTCTTCATGATAATGATATGCCATTACCCATTTTCCAATGTCACTTTTCCTCCTTTTCTCTCTTTGACAAACCAATCTCTGAGAGAATCAAATTAAAGTAACATTTGAACAGTGTAGAGCCTGTATATTAAAAATGTATTCCTCTTCCCTCTTCCCTCTCCCCTTGTTTATTATTTTACTGTTTACTTTTTTGCCCACTTCCTCCTCTGTTGCCCATGTTCTGGATGGCCCCTCCTGCGCCCGCCCACCTGACACCCTGGTTGGCCCTGCCCATAATCGTGCCCTGTCCTTAAATGGGCGCCTTACTTGATTGACATCTGTGCTCGAATGGCCCTGGCCCCTGCCCATGCCACGCCCAGTACAAAGCCAGTGTGTCAGTCCCAGACAGCAGTGGGCCTGAGCGGTATGTCCCTAAGCTCCTCCCTCTCACTGCCTGACTACAGGTCAAATAAACAAGAAGAGATGAATAGTCATCCTGCCTCTGTCCAGTCACTGTATTTTTAAACTACCTGTTCATACAATATATTAGCCTGAGTCAAAATGCCTAAATACCTTCATGTCCAAATCTGCCTGTTGATCCAGTAAAAGCCATGTGAACAACCTTTTATATGCCATTTTTAAAGTCACGTCAGCATTTAAACTTAGGCTGGTGTTGTCAGGGTTTTTCTGCCACTATCTTTTTAAATCTTTGCTATAATCTGTGCAATATGTCCATGTGTTTTTGTGGTTTCTTTTTTGTTTGTTTGTTTGTTTGTTTGTTTTTAAATTGATCATCTATCCTCTTTATCTTTCGTGTTTTCACTTCCCTCCCCCTTTCAGAGTGGATATACTGGTGTTATTTTTAATTTTTGTTAGTTTCATGCGCTCACTTGCTTCATCATCTCATTCCTTCCTTATGAAGCCCTTCTTTTATATTGATAAACTACAGTAGTCCATCCATTCTGAAATGCAAAAGGCAAGCTGAGATTCAAGTGTTGTGGTTTTTTGTTTTGTTTTTTTGTTTTCCTTTCCTGTCTTCTGCTTTATCTGAACTTGGTTGACTGCTGAAGCCATTGAAAATACAGGATATCTCTGTCCTGCTCATTTTTGCATTCTTTGGTTTTATATTTATTGCTTCCTCCATCCCCTTAAAAAGCAAACAAAGCAAACTCGAGTGGTGGCAGACTTCATTTACCATGGTGTAATCTGCTCTTTTACTCTTCAACTGCCAACATTCTGCTCCCATGTAAAAACTGTGCTTAAGTTTTCCTCCTCAGTAACTAGTGTTTATTGTACTGTCACTAGGTGGGTGTGGACACCAACATTTTAACTACAAATTGACTGTCCAAACTATTTATTTATTTATTAAAAAAAAAAAAAAAGTTGCGTGTAATTTAAAAAAAAAAAGCGATGGGGTTATTTATTTGATTTTCCTCTGCGCTTTTAAACGTACTGTTTTGCGCATTTTGGGGTCTTTGTGGTCAAAATGTTTGTGGTTTGCATCCACCAAACTCTGCTTTAAGATTTTAGAGTTCTCTTTGGCACCATTGGTGCTCATTCCTGCCAGTTCCTCCTCAAACCTCCCTTGTCTCCCCTCTTCAGTGGTCACCAAATGCAGTCACTTTTCTTTGGGTCCTTTTAATTTTCTCTTTGCTTTCCTTCTCTGGACAAAGACTTTCCTTTTCATTGCATTGTTTGGGTGCCAGCTTTTTGCCAGTTACAGAGGTTAAAAAAACAACCTTGACCTAACATGTAAAGTTTAGAAAACCAAAAAAAAAACTGGACGCAAATATTTAATTTAGCTGTGTTAGTCTCATTGAATCATTATTTGGTGTTTGACAGTTTTTTCTATGGCAAAAAGGGGGATGGTATGAATTCTATAATCTAAAATGTTGTTCCCTTCCTCCTGGGATGCCTTGCCGGCACCCCAACCCCACCCTCTAATTGTTACGCATGGATGAATTCTGAAGCATCCTGAGCATCAGTGCAGACATTGAAACTGTTGGAGAAATCCTGCTGAAGATTATTCCAACATTGGAAGAGGTGAGCACTTTTATACCCCCGTTTTATTTAATTATTTATTTTCCCCCTCTGATTTTAAGTTATTGCAAAACTAGTTGTTGCAAATGTGAGTTGCTTTGAAAATTTCATATGCTTGTTGTAGGTGTGAGCGTGTTTGCCAGTATGTAGTTTTTATGGTCAAACTTCACTGGTTTAAAGGCTTTCTGATTTCATGTGTCGGCAGTCTGATGTGACGATGTATAACACTGTTTCTATGTGCCTCTATCTACCATTAATTGTTTTTTTTTGTTTTGTTTTTTAAAGAATAAATATTAGACTTTTCCCTCTAAGAGTCTAAGCTACATTTCAGGTTGAATGTGCTCATGTGTTCCCATTGGCAATCAGGTGTATGAGGTAATGATGTATAAAATTTGTATTATGGTTTGAATATGTTAAATGTCCCATGCAGTACCAGCAGTACAATGGGATGGATTTTGACTGTGAGCTCCGTCTGCTGATCCACCAAAGCCTGGCCGGTTCTATCATTGGAGTGAAGGGAGCCAAGATCAAGGAGCTGCGTGAGGTATCTTCAAAAAAATGGAGATTTGTTTTTGTTATGTTTGTAAATTTTATATTATTCTTAGACTTGATTTAAATGCCATCTTTTGTTCATCTGTCTTTCCCTAATAAATGGACAGCCTTGGGATTTTGTTAAATGTGCGTGTGCGTGTGCGTGTGCGTGTGTGTGTGTGTGTATTTGTCTCCAGAACACAAAGACCAGCATCAAGCTGTTTCAGGAGTGTTGTCCCCAGTCGACAGACCGTGTAGTTCTGGTTGGTGGTAAAACGGAGAGAGTGGTGGAGTGTATCAAGACTATGCTGGAGCTCATATCTGAAGTAAGGTTATCTATTCTGGAGTAGTTTATTTATTTATGTATTTATCTTTGCAGCTATTTATATATTGAAAATTGCTGATCTATGGGAATTTTTTTTTTTTTTTTTTTTAAGTTGCCTTAGGTTTGGTTGGGAGTTTTAATTCAATATGAAATCCATGATAATTTCACAGAACTTAAACCATATAATAATACATAAATAATAATATTGTTGCACATGATCCTTCTATTTTCTTGGAAATTAAATTGACGCTCTGGGCAGGCCTGAATGTTCTGTTTCCCTGTTTCAGGCTCCCATAAAGGGCCGTACACAGCCCTATGACCCCAACTTCTACGACGAAACGTATGAATACGGTGGTTTTACCATGATGTTTGAGGAGAGAGGGGGTGGACGCAGACCAATGGGAGGTTTCCCAATGCGCGGTAGCCGGTCCAGCCATGGAGAGCGCAGCTTTGACCGAATGCCCTCAAGTAGAGGGGGAAGGGGACCCATGCCTCCGTCACGTCGAGATTACGATGAAATGAGCCCCCGCCGAGGTCCTCCCCCACCACATCCGAGTAGGGTTGGTAGAGGGAGTAGCCGTGGACGCAACATGCCAATGGGACACCCACACAGAGGGTAAGAGATGAGCACAGATAACATGCAGTTTGCTCCCCTGCTTTGCTTTTTCTTGTGCACAAATCAGTCTTGTCCCAAGGCATTCCCACTTAAGTGAGTTTGTTATAATAAGAATACATTGCCCATCTTGTAAGCATTCACTGATTTGCTGAATACTATAGAGCTTAATGACTATAGAGATTGACAGACCACGTGACTTTCGCGCATTGCATGCTGGATACTCGTGGCAAAGCAATGCATCAAACGCAACCATTTGCAGCATCGCAAAACGTTCATTCTCCGGTTCCGATACCTTCTTTCTTTGTCCCCCAAAAAAGTTATGTACAAAACGAAGGAGAACAATGCCGGTCCGTACAAAGACAGACTTTATGAAAAGTCAAAGAAAAGATATGAGGAAAAAATCAAAGGAGTGAAAGGGTCAGACCCTTACGAGCACACAGAGTGGACAAAATATGTTAGCGTGCTGCCCAACTTTCACCACGCCCATATTTATAATTATACGGTTCTTGGAGTGAGTGCATACACTCGTGAAGTTTAGTAACTTCAGGTCACTGCAACAAGCCCAGGTACAGTTTACCGACGGATGGGTGCAGGACCTTGAAATGCACAGTGTAGAACGAAAGACCATCGTACGTATCATAAGTTTACCAGTCTCACAAATCGTCTTCATAAATACACATTCGTTAACCGTTTATTAATAGGACTTTTAAGCTCAACAATAATTAAATAGTAGTGGAAATAATTTCTGGTTCGCATTACAGAAATGTAGCAGTGACAATAATATTGTATGCTGTAATCGTCCTGGGCAATTAGTGATACAAAAAAACCCCTGTTTTATCCTGTGAATAAAAGTGTTTTTGTCAATGTCCCATGGTAATAACAGAAGCGAAACGCAATATTATGTCAGTACAATTCACTATTTATGCACAATAAACAAAGGAGCATAGCGCGACAATTTCTGTTCAGCGCCAGACTTGCTTGTAACCTATATCACCAATTATGTTATAAAAATGACGTATTAACTACTACAAAACATTGACCTTTGTGGAAGTTCTTGGAGCAGACTAACATGTGAGCTGGAGTATTCTGGGACGTTATATTTGGTCTTTGAATGGCTGCAATCCAGGCCATCCGTCGCCTCTTTGTTACTTCGGAAACATGGCTCAAACAATTTCTCTTCAACGACGTAATCCGATAACAACCGATCTCTTTACCCGTCGGCTTCCCATGGCTGTCATGCGACCGGCTATTGCAGTTAATAATACAACAGCTTCTTGACATTTTTGTGTTTCTTTTTATCGCTGTGTAATGTAATTTCAATTGAAAGCCTGCGTGCGCTAGTACCTCTTGCCACGAGTTCCCAGAATCCTTTGGGGTTTTACCCCTGAATGACGTCACATTTTCAATCTCTATATAAACATTTGAGTTCGAAGTTGAGTCCTTTCACTCCTGTTTAGCGCTTCTTGAGTTTGATAGGTTAAAAAAACAGCAACTCTATATTCGAGAGCACTTGCTCATTTTCCTACATGTCCATATACAGAGCTTAATCTCTTCAGGTGCCTTCTTTCCATTCAGATGCGTTCTGTTTAGGGTCAACTTGGTTCAGTTGTCTTGTGTAAGACGAACTAAGTCCAGTATTCTGTATGTTATTGAGTGGCTATCATTTCATTAAGTGTATGTGCTCATCATTGTCTGGGTGTGTTTGTATCTTTTTTTTTTTTTTTTTTTTTTTTTTTTTTTTTTTTTTTTTGCGTTTATTTGTTTTTGCCGACCCCCATCTCCATCTTGCCCACAGAGATGATCGTTACTATGACTCGTACCGCGGCTCAGATGAGAGGTCAAAGTAAGTTTCTGCCCCTAAACCTTTGACTAAACCTCCTAACTAATCTCAACAGGGATACTTTGACATTCTGATTTTCAGTTGGTTTGTATTATCTGCATTTGTCACATTATAAGTAGATGTTCTGTAATTCACTTCATGTTAACGCCAGTGGGATTTTGCCCATCGGTCTGTGTTTGGAGTGATTCGCTGCTGCTGAAAGCCTAAATTTACATTCACAAATGAAATGGACAATTTGTCTGGAGTTTATGAAAATTAATTGTTAAGGTATCCCTACATGTTTCCTCTGCTCTACACATTTTTCTGCTCATTTTCGAGAAACTAAAAGATTTACTCTTCTTTCGTATTGCTAACTACTAAATACTACAGTTTGTTTTTTAGTACCCTAACCTTCATTCACATGTTCAGCCCATTTATTTGGAGTGCTTTGTAGGACAGTACAGCAACACTGTATGACAAGCTCTTTCTTGTGATGGTAACACATTCATTGTGCTACTCATTAGATGGTTATTTTGTGGTGGTGTGTGAGGGTCATGTGCTGATGTGATGCTTGTCACTTACAGCCCCTGCTAAGAGGTATGCTTTCACATGCCAGCTTTTGATTTAAAAATATTTTTAATATATAGAGATGTATAATTTTGCTTCATTTTGGACTCTTAAATCCAACCTGAAGTAAACCAATTTAAGAAAATTATGTTGGGTGTCAAACTATGGGCGGGGCTATTAAAAATTCTAAAATGTAAGCTCTGCGATGACAAAACAAGAACAAAGCTATTATGATACCCTGACAGTAGCCTTGTTGATGATATCTCTAAGACTTTTTTATTATTAACAAAATGTGGGGAAAGAGTGTAGCAAAAGCACTACATGATATTAAGTTATGATGAGACTTTTATCACAACATTAACATCTGTGCATGTATGTTCTTAAGAAAAGAAAAAGTACGAAGTACATCCAAATGTGTTTCTTCAGTCTTCTTTATTTTAGCTCAGTCGTGTAGGGGGGGGAAATTCAGCAGCCCTTGGCTCTGATCATCATCACCACCACCTGTCACTCCTCTCACCATAACACTGTCAGAGCTGTTCCTGTTACTGTGTGGGAAGATGGCTGAGAGGAAATGTGTTTATACTGTAATCTTGCTCAGCGTGTGTGTGCAGTTTGACCTGGACCAGAAATTTTCTTTGGAATGTTGTCAAGCATTTTTCTAAGCTTTTTCTATTTCTTTCCACCCCAACCCACATCTCCCTCTCTCTGTGTTTCTGCCCACCCCTCCCTTCCATCACCAGTGACAGAAGAGGCAGACCGGATCGCTACAGCGATAGCATGGTTAGTGACCCTTTGCTAAATGCATGCGGCTCTGGTACTAGCATCTCATTGGGTGCCAGCGTCCACAACCTAGCATACTTGTTGGTCCTGTCGCCACACAATATGCTGTGATTGTCCCATTATCTTGTCATGACAATAATGGTTTATCAAGTCAGCATGTGATCAACTGCCATAACCAGAGGGATTTGTTTCTAGGTTTTCTTTCTGTACGTCTGTCTGATTGAGGCGAATTTCTTAAAATTTGGCACAAGTTTGTTTGAACTAGAGTATGAACTGGTTTCATTTTGGCGGCCAAAGATCAAAAATAGTTTGAAACAGTTCATTATATATTGTGTAATTATGTAACCATGGAACTGATCATAAATGCCAAAGAGTATAAAATGGTTAAGTGATAACTTTACATACAGAAGGGCAGGGCTGGGCAGGATGTAAATTGAAATTTGATTGGTTGGCGGAAGGATAAAATAACAAGGTGGTAATTCTAGTTGACATTACGTTGTCACTCGTGCAAATGAATGTGCATACACTCAAATGAGCCATGGATCCAAGCTAGCTTTTGCATGGTGTAAACCATCCCACCAAATGACCGTAATCACCACAGCCGGAGACACCCCATAATAATCAGCTATAATTGCCCTCTTACTGTGTACTTTTCACGGCCAGCCTGTTTTTCCTGTAAAGTGAGGGAGGATGTTGGAAGGGTAGGGAGGTAGGGGGTGGCCGTGGTTGGTTGCTAAGCACTAATAATGCTTTGTTGACAGACTGGAAGGTCTCTCTCCCTCATTCTCCCTCTCCCTCGTTCTCCCTCTCTGAGAGCTGGCAGGATACTGCCTGCCGTTGCTCAGCAACAGCTATTTGAATTGCTTGTTGCCCTGGTGACAGCAGCAGCTGAATAGCAGCTGAAAATGGGGGCTGATGGAGATGCAAGGAGAGATGGGGAGGGGGGATGGAGGGAGAGAAGGAGGAGGAGTCTGTATTATGGATGAAATACTGGGTGGCTTTTAGTTTAGTCTACTCCATGGGTGCTGCAGCTTTAGCATCCGTGCATTTTTGCGTACGATCTGTGGGATGTAAAGATGAAAGGACTTCATTGTGCTGTATGTAACCGGTCTGTGTTTCTGTGTGTTTCTTACAGAGTGGCGGAGGATATGGTAAGTGCTAAACATCCTGTATTGCGTGACAAGGATGTGGTTACAATGCTGTTAACGTCTTAATCAACAGTACAGGTTGGAGAATTCTTAATAATTTAGTGTGGTGACAATAATTTTCTCATATGTTACAAATATAAATGGGCTAAAAGGATATTGCAGCTAATGAATTTGGGATGTTAATTTAAATCTGTATTGTGAATTTTAAAGAAATTTGTTTGCAATGACATTTGATTTTAAACATGTTTCCAGCAAATGTTAAGGATTAGGTAGAGATTTAAATATGATTTAACACATTTCTTGATTTCTTTGCCATATGTACCCACTTATGGGTTTAAGTTTAGTATCAAGGGGGGTCATTTGAACAACTGTTGGCCTGTCTTGGTGGTGATCACTGAGTGTTCTTTTTGTTTCCTCTTCTGCTCAGATAACAGTTCCTCATGGGATAGCTACCAGTCAGGTGAGCCTCTACACTTCATCAGTCAACGTGATTAGAAAAGATTGCTTTTTTTCTTTCTTTCTTTTTTTTTTTCTTCCCCCTTTTCTTACCTTTCCTCTTCTTCTTGCCATCAGGTGGTCGTGGCTCCTATAACGACATGGGTGGCCCTGTCATTACCACACAAGTGACGATCCCTAAAGATGTGAGTGAATGACAATATAGAACTGTAAACTTACACCTAAGGAAGATCTGTTTTATTTGTCTACTGTGCCCCATATTATTAAAGATTGGAACTGTACATTGCAATCCAAGCATGTTATCTGCACTCTGTCATTATCATTATGACATTTAAGTGGCATTTAATTTTTTGTGTGTGTGAGAGTTGCTGTTAGGTGTGCAGCAGCTAAAATTTGCCAACAGAATATCCATAGTAGACAAGTCATTTAAGGGCCAATTATTGGTTTTATTAAAGAACTAACCACTACCTAAAATAATTTCAAGATGTATTTTCATTGATTTTTTTTTTTTCCTGAGTAAAGCTTTTCTGTGTTTTGTGTCTCCAATTTGGATTTGTCAACCTACACGCACCTTTAGTCACAGAACCTAAAATAATTTAACATTTTGCCCGCCCCCTGTTCACCACCCCTCTTTTTTTTTTCTTTTTTTTTTTTACTCTGTACAGTTGGCTGGCTCTATCATTGGTAAGGGAGGCCAGCGGATCAAACAGATCCGCCATGAGTCTGGGGCCTCCATCAAGATTGATGAACCTCTGGAAGGTTCTGAGGACCGAATCATTACCATTTCTGGCACCCAGGATCAGATCCAGAATGCCCAATACCTCCTACAGAACAGGCAAGTCCTGGCATGGGCTCGGTATATTCCAGTGACTTTTATCCTGTTTTCGATTTAGAAATTCTTGGTCTAGCATGCTAGTGGTAGTTATATCTTCAAGTTGTGTTTATAAGGCTCAGTAACTTGTAATGTTAGTTTTGAACTTTTAGAAAACCTCAGTCAAACTGTTCAGTGGTCAACTGACCTCTCATGAGTGAGGGTTGCATCATTAAAAGTATAATGCAACCCTCTCAGAAAGTGCATTCTTGTTTACTTATGCTGAGAAGAGCTGCTCATGTGTGAAAGATTAATTTTCCCTCACTTCATTGAACCTCACATTAATAGGGGAAAGGTTTGGTTGAGGTTGTAAATATGTTATATTGAAATTACATTCTGTTAGTCCACTTTTCGTTGGGTTTCTGAAATTCTGTTGCCTGCTGTCTTTTCTTCACTAACCCCCTTCCTTTCTTCCCATGCAACGTGCAACTAGTACAAACCTTCCTCTTACATGAAATGGCTGTGACGGAACAGACAAGCTTTAACAGCTGTTGTACATATCACGTAACATGTTTATTTTTGTTTTTGTTTTAAGGGTTGATGTGATAGGCATATTTCGTTGACTGTCACATCTGTCCCCTGAAATATGATTGTTAAATTATTATGGGAAAAAAAAGGCAGAAAAAAGAAAACAGTCCGTTTGCCATCAGAGCCGTTTCACTGTGAAGCAGGGAGTGGATTGATTCTTCCCCTGGCTGCTGCTGTGTGGAAGACTAGTGATTTTGTTGTTTTTAGTTAGAGCAACCGACAACAAATCACAGTCTGCCAAATAGCACAGGCTCCTCCTCTTCTGTCTCCCTTGGCAACCAGTAGGCACGTATAATACACACTACTTCCTTGTTGATGCTACTGCCCGAATGCTAATACAGCTGTAGACCTGCCGCCCTTTCTCTTGAGTAGGGTAGTGTTGCCATGCTAACTAACCCTTCCTCCCTCTTCCTTTCTCTCCTTCCTCCCTTTCAGTGTGCTGCACCTGCTTAGACACAAGGGCTAACCACACCCTGCTATTTTCCTCGTCTTCCTCATTCTCTTTCAGGCACTTCAGTCACATCTTCATCCTCTCTTTCCTCTGCCTCTCTCCTATTTGCTGTCTCTTTCCACTCCACATTCATGCTCCCACTCATATTTACAATTCCATTGGCTTGCAATGTGCAACGTTTCTTTTTTTTCTTTTTTCTTTTTTTTTTCTTCCCCCCCCCCTTTGTGTGTGTTGTTTATTTTCTCACTCTTTTTATTTCAGTGTGAAGCAGTACTCTGGTCATTTGCTGTAGACCAAGGAGGCTCAAAGTGAAGAAGAATGAGATTGCCCCTCCTTCCTCAACCTTTCTGCCCTTCCCAGCACATCACCTTCAGACTATTCTGGATTGTGGGTGTCTTTTGGTTTTTTCTTAATCTTATTTTTGTATTTTTTAATGAAATAAATGTCCAACATTCCTGTGCATAAGAGAAAATGTAGATGTTCTGCATTTTTAAGAGTGTAATCCATTAGTTTATCAGATACACACTTGCTTTTTTCTAACACAGATAACAAATTATCCTTCAGACTTTTCACAGAAATAAACATAACCTTTATTTTTTGGATGGCTTTGTGGTTTTTTTTGTTTTTGTTTTTGTTTTTTTAAATGACGCATGTGTGTTTGTGACTTGGTGGAAATCTATCTTTTGTGCGTACATGTAAGCACATGTCAGCGTGTGTGGGTTTGGTGTGCTTTCTGTAGTCTATATTGGTTCCTTCGCACCCAGTTGTACTACATTACCACTCTGTGCAACATGCAGAACGTAAGCTTATTCTTTTTATTTTATTTTCGCGAGCTGTGGGGGACTTAACCCTTTCAGACTGGATTTTTGGGATGTTTATGTTGGGATTTGTGTGAATATAGCAGTTGTCTGATGAAACAGCTGAAATCTTTGATTTTTTTTTTTTTCCTCACAAATGGGGAAAAATGTAGCTAGAAATTTGTTGGCATTTTATTAGAACGTTGGAAGGAGAAGAGGGGGAAAAAAAAAAAAAAGGATATTGAACCTCATTGTCCCTGCAGTTTCCTGCTCTCCATGTGCCCATGCTGTAGACTCCCCATTTTCAAATTATAAGATGAATAAAGATGATGCCACTTTTTACTAAATCTTGAACTTCTGTTTTTATTAATTCACATTTCTGGTCTATATCAGTTTCTAAGTGTCTTTAGTTAAATGCTGTTTTATTAATATACTGCCAAACACAACAACAGTTGCTTAAAGGCACTTTATATTGTATGATAAAGACCCAACAATACTGCAGGCATGTGATTGAAGAGTGAGTATGTGAGTGCAACCTCAGATGAACAACATGACATATCACACTCATTATTTAACAAAACATTCAAATTGTAGACCGTGTGCTTCTGTAGAACCATTTTCTGTACAACTGTCAGTCTGATGATGTTGTGGAGGAATTTTGGCCCAATCTTCATTACACATTGGGTTCATTTTATTGAGATTTCTGTGTATTCGTTTATACAGAGTTCTCTTGGACGGTGCTCCAGAAGTCTTGGATGTGGTTTTTTCAGATAAAACTTTGCAAACAGAAACCACGCTGTCATGTTTTTAGAGAGAAGAGGCTTTCTTCAAACCTGGCAACCGTTCCAAACAAGTCATATTTGTTCAGTCTTTTCCTAATTGTGTTGTCATGAACGTCAACACTGATGGAGGACTGTAATGTCTGAGATGTATCTCTTGGGGTTTTTTGAGCATCTGAGCATTTCACAGGAACTTGTATTCCTGGGAATATGGGTAACTATAATGTTTGGAAATGACCTTTTAACCCTTGTCAGACTGATCTTAGAGAAGCAACAGTTGCTTCTCTAAGATCATTGCTGATGTCTTTCTTCTTTGGCAATTTGTTAACGCACACCAGAATGCTCCAGACAAATACACTACTATAACTTGTGCTTTTGTAGAGGTGCTCGCACCTGCTGATGATAAATACATTTGCTCACCATCACCTGGCCACAACTTCATTTTTCATACAGAAGCAGTAAGAGTGTGCTTAGTTTTTCACACACTGACTACATCTTGGGTTAGTTTCCGTTAGATAACACCACGATGTAATATGGCATGTGTTGTTGTTCATCTGAGGCTGTATTTACCTCATTTTAACACCCAGCAAGAACCACATTTTATATTCAGACGTGTAAAACCTTAGGACTGAAAGAGAGTGGAATTTATTTCACTTTCTTTAATATGAGTCTTCCCCCCCCCTAAAAATAAATAAATAAAAAGAAAATAAATAAATTCCAAATATTTTCCGGTGAGTTCAAGAAAAGCAAAATACACTCACAATAGACTCTCGGAGTAAATGTATGAAAGTTTGACTGAATAATTACTCAGATTGTTTTGTTATTAAAATTTTTACTTAATAATTTTGTGTTGATCATACTCAGCCAGCAACTTAAAAAACAAATAGAGAAGTTAATTCTTATTGGCTCACCAGATCGTCCTCATGTGGTGTTATTACAGTCATTTACCTCAAATCCCCTCAAACCATGAGATTTATGCCACCATGTTTGAGACATTTTTACACTAGCAGGCAGTTGGAACGGACGTTGCTTTGTTGTTTCCTCTCTTAGCTTCTTGTGATTGGTTCACTAACCAGCTAAGGCCACAAGCGAGGCTCTGATTGGTCAATAGCTGGAAACCAGGTAGTGGGAACAGTAGAGCGCGGGTGTCGTGCTTTCGTCGGTGAGTAGCAACAGTTTGCACAGGAATAAAAAAAAGTACTGCTGCCCACTGCGTTTATGTTAGAACACAGTTTTTATTATTTAATGACGATGACTGTATACGCTCAGAAATGTCCTTAATGGTCGTGAAACTCCTGAGACCGCGTGAGTGCTCCGGTAGTTGCACTTTGCACCTACAGGTTTCTCAGATAAACGCGATGGCGTAAAATTGGCCTGCATAACAAATAATTAAACCTTAAAAATGAATGAAACATATAAGTGAGAGGCAAATCATGTTCACTGAGGAGAGGAGTAGAAAATGGGGTTCATTCAGCAGGCAACCGGAGCTGTGCGTCACTGCGAACATTAACGCACAGTCATCAGATACTTGAGAACTCCTGGAGGGGTGTAATTGTCTTCTTTTAGGGAAAAGGAATAGGAGTGACGTCGGTCAGACATGCGTCGCTTTTATGTTTGAAGTGCTTACACAGGATGAATACCTGAACCTTCAAAATAAATCCACGTTTCTTTTAAATGTTGGCCCAAAGCACTTCATTGTGGAGAATGTTATTAGACGATTTTTGTTCTTTTTTTATAATCTGCATCCATTTTTTGGTCATTATTTTTATTATTTCAAATAATGAATCTTTAGTTTGTAAAGGACTTACTCAATCCATACATGTTTCATCAGCTCTAGTCTTTGCATATATTAAAGATAGATGTGTTTATCCCCACACTTACATTATTGGACTCTTATTTCCACAGAGGAGTGCATTCATACTATGCATGCTTGTTTTAATTTCTGCTCCTTACAGTCTCCATCATGGAGAAGCCTCTGTTACCACGAGAGTCTGGCCAGTTCATAGCAGAGCAGAGTCGGGATGTGTTTGTCGAGGATGAAGGAGTGCAGAAGGTGGCGGAGATGCTTTACGGTCTCCAACACAGTGACGAGCTGACAGCCAGTGGCTGGAAGAAAGCAAATCCATTGGCCCCAGCACCCACATCTGACCAGGGGAGTGTACTAGTACCCAGGCTATGAAAAGATTCTTCATAGTATACAGTATTGTGCAAAAGTGCTGAGCCATCCTTCATTTCTTTATGTTTTGCTTCCAAGGAGCCAGAGTTTCTTGCAATGTTTTAAAATGGTTTTAAGCAATAGTTCTTCAGTCCTTCTGAAAACCTTTCAGAAGATTTTCTTCCATCATTTTCATCATTTTTTTCCCACCAGTTTCTGGTTTTCTATCAGTCCTGAATATCCCTATCTACTGTCTCTGTCTTTGGCGGTTCATCAGTTTTCCCTCCAGATGTCGACCTCTGTGTGTTCCCTAGTTTTTCCCTTGGTTATACCTATATATAAGTTAGACCAAGCATTATATCTGCTATAGTCAGGGGTGCACATAAGTGGTCCGCAGGTGCGCATTCACTGTCAAAATAAAAGACGCGCACCTGATAAGAAGTTGCAATGCGCGTTTGCGTCCATATAAAAGGCAGTGTTTTTTTCCGCTAGAGTGGGATTTTCACGGCATATTCTGCACCACATCTCTGTGCGTTCATCATTTGTTTGAAGCCCGCTCACCTCCTGCAACCACTTTTCCGAGAATACGTGCTTCTTTTGCGGTTCTGACTCCTTCTGAAATTTCGTTGGAGGTGGAGGAAAACCAAAGTAATTGCTTAAAGGAGCTTCTTCGACATTTTTAAGAGTTCTAAACAAACGTCTGTCCTCCTCCAGAAAATCTTATGTACGCAAACGAGCGTTGCAACTTCTTATCTGGTGCGCGTTTTTTTTTATTTTGACAGCGAATGCGCACCTGCGGACCACTTATGTCCTGACTATAGTGCTATGCCGAAGTCTTGAGTCACCCCTCATTTCTTTATATTTTGCTTCCAGAGAGCCATATTTTCTTATAATTTTTTGAAGTGCTCTTGAGAAATTCCCTTTTAAGCTGTCTTTGGGCATTGGCTGCTTTTTCACTTCATTTAAGTCCGGTCCTTGTACCTAGCCATAATAACTTAGTGGTTATTATTGTGAAATTTAAAAAAGAAAAGAAAAAAGGTTTTAAGGGGGGTTTATGTAATAGTTGCAGCTAATCAGGTGGTGAGATTGTGAATATGTGTTGCTTTACTCTGTTTTATATTACTATAAATATAAAGTATTAAGGTTTTCAACTGTTGTCTGGACACAATGAAGGATTTATGAAATGATTGTATCTACTGACATCCAGAATTAATCAAAAAGACAGTAGCTGCAGTGGTCTTTGATTGTATTTTGTATGGGTACAGGTTTTTAAAATATTGACTAAAACACTAATTTAATACAAATTTTTAAAACCTCAGTGGAGAAACCCTGTCTCTTTTGGACAGTGTGTTACAGTATATTCACTTTTCTTTCCTTTTTTTTTTTGTATACTTTCTTAATAATTTGTGCAATTTACCACTGCAGGCATTGAACTGGGTATTTGTAGTAGACACCATGAACTTTTCCTTTTGGCCAGAGGAAGAAACGCAGCAATGTGAGGTGACTTATAAAGGCACCACATACACAGGCTACATGACCCTGTGTGCTGCCATCACCAGAGCCATGGAAGAAGGTAAGAGTACATACCTGTACATCCACTTAGTTACTATATTATACAGACTTATAGAAAATAGCAGTAGGCAACTCACAGCACTTTCTATTTTAAGGTAAAGACTCTTCAGCATTATACATAGAAAGCCAGAAATGTAACAATCCTTGATGAGCATAAACATGAAGGATGGAAATGTCAGATTTATAAATTGTTTGCCGCTGTGACTGTTTGCAGCAAAGTTACAACCATGCTCTTACCTTTACTTCATACATAATTTTAGGTGTTTTAATCCTAGTCTCTGGAGAACAAAATGTATATTTTGATTGTCCCTCTATTCTGTGCAGTTTTGTTATTACCCATTATCGTGTTTGTGCCCTTTATTTGAACTACGACTGCTGGGAAATTGCTTGTAGCTCTGCATGTGCCTGTGCATCATTTATAATTAGCATGAATGACTCCGGATATGAATCAATTATGTCTCATATGGAATAGCTCTCAGTGTGTGGTCGCCATGGCCTTTATAATTACAAGAGATTTTCTCAGAAAAGCACAGGTAGTTTGGCTCCAGTGTGAATCTCGGGGTGGGGGGTTGACAGCGTGAGATCAGAGCAAATTATGTATTTTGAGTCTATTGTGAGCAATGGCCACTGTCAAGTTATATTCTTATTATTGCACACCGAGGGTAGCTCCTGTTTTAAGATTAATCCACCTAGCACCTTCTCTTCTCCACACTCCACAGGTGTACCTATTACTGATCCAAAGTATTTCTCTCAGATGAACGTGGAGGAGTTGGGACGTGTCCTTCGGTCAGACAATGAAACACCCATGCCGATGCTGCAGGAGCGTCACCAGGTTCTAATATTAATACGATATTCAAATAATGATTCAATTGGTCAATATATGGATTTCAGTAATGCTTCAGTTTTGATTTTACTTTGCTTTTTTACTTTCTTTAAATCTAAAAGCTGTCTTTTCAGTCAGGGCAGTCTCAGCATTGACAAAATGAAAGGAGTGCTTTTTAAAGCAACAGTGACTTTTTCTTTTAGAAATAAACAAGGTTTTACATTCCTCTATTCAACAGACTGAATAAGGATGGCGCGTTTTTATATCCATCACGGTACATATATTCATATTTGGCACATTTTTCTGCCTTTCTTTATATGAAACGTCAAATTTTATTTTGATATTAAGCAAGAAAAGTGATTTTATGGTTCAATTAATTATTGAGTCTGTTAGTTTTGTTACATTTATAAACACAAATTTAAATTGTGGCGCTTTCTGCCTGTTACATTTAAAGAAGCCACCTGCTGAATCTTTTTAACAAGGTGCTGACAGAAGGCGGCCGTGTGCTGCTGGAACATGGTGGAAGCTTCCGCAGTTTTATCAGCCAAGCCGGAAACGACGCCCAGAAGATGGTGGAGCTCATTGTGCAGAAGATCCCCTCTTACAGGGATGAGGCTACATATGAGGTGAGAGTTTAGCAGGATCATTGTACAAATTAGGAACCTCTTCTAATTGGGAATGTGCAAAAAATAAAAGAGACGCCCTCTATTTGCTGCACTAGTTTGGCTTTTCAGAAATGTCAAGTTGGTACAAGAGGAAAGGGTTGGAATGATTAACTTATTTACAGGTTTTTAGATACTAAAACAATCACTTATGGTTGAATAGGTCCCAGTGAGCAAGCATAAAACTGTAATTTCCCCAAATATTTGGAAAACTGATCTTTTTATTAGTACGGAGCATAAATACATAACTGTGCAGATACTTTGAGTTTTCAGCCTAATGATACAGCCTGTATATTGCTTTATAGATTATGCACAATGCATAATACATATTAAATGCATATATGAAATATATGTGATCAAATATATGCATTTGGAGAATTTAAAATAAATTGTGATGTGAGAGTTCCACCTCCTGGTCAAATACAGTGCAGCAACACTGATGCTGTCAGTTTATTATACAGTCAGAGGAGAGCATTATACTCTTCGACGTTATTTCTTTAATTTTATATTTGTGTAAGAACACCTGCCAAATTATAAATATTTGTGGCCTAAGGACAAATACGATGTTGATATTTTGTCACTTTCTTGGTTGTGTAAGGGTAAAAGGATTTCATTCTACAAGCGAGCCCAGATTCTTGTGGCAGATTACTGGGGCCTCATGGCGGCCAGAGGACAGGGTGACATCATTAACATGGACTGGCTCACCATGTTTGCTGACTACAGGGTTCCTCAGGCGCTTGTCTACTTAGGAGCTCTACGATACTCTGATACGCTGATGCAGGCGTTGAAGAACGGTGAGACAGTAGTGTGTCTATGCACTTGTTTCTTACTGAAGATAATATTTCAAATCACGAGATATAATTGCTTTCAGGTGAGCTTCTGTCTTCAGGAGACCAGAGAGAAGTAGAGATCCGAGGTTGTTCCATTTGGTGCGTGGAGCTGATCAAAGACCGTCTCCACAAGCTGGTGCAGGAGAGAGCTGGACAGCCCTGCAGTGTGAACTCGGTTATCATCGACTTTTACCTGTGGCCTTACGCCAAGCAGCACCACAAAGAGATGGCCCACATTCCCATACACCACACACGCTGTATTTACTATTGATGAGCTGGCTGGCAGCCGTACATACAGGAGGCTGCACTTCTCAGTCTGCCGCTCGCTGGGCTGAAGCCAAGCACATCTCTGTGCCAGGTATACATACAAACAGACTTCTCTTTGGCTGCAGTGGAAACAGCTGTGAAGTGTTAATGCAGCGTGTCTTTCTGAGTGGGCACTGCTGTTCATTTCCGGTCTCAAATATGTCGGTCATATTTTCTCACAAACCTCTCGATGTGGAGAAAATGATCATATTATGCCAATCTGCGTATGCTCTGCAAGTATATAACAGTCTAACAATAAATGATATTCATCAAACTGGAGGAGGATTAGAGTACTTTGGTTTTTGATACTGTCTTTCTTTTTTTAAAAGGAGTGTAATCAGAGTGTTTTTTAAATTCAGTGTAGTCAGTATTATGCATTTCATGAGTGCAAATGGATAAGCCCGATGTTAACATGCAGCTCTTTTTACTTCTCTCTTTTTTTTCTTGGTAACATAAAGCCTTTGGTCATTTCTCTTTTCAGTGAAATATTATTTAATACAAGTTATATAGAGGCATCTTGCTTTCTGCTCCTCTTTGAAAAGGGAACAGAAAAAAGTGACAGCCTGCACTGAATATAGCAAAAATGTGATGAAAGATGGAAACCTTCCTCAGATGAGAGATTTCTGCAGTCTGCATAATGAAGGAGTACAGATATTGTGTTAAGCTGAATATTGAGAGGCTTAAGCTAAAATTTGAAATAATAATAATAAATTATCTAGCAGATGCAGTCTGCCTGAAAGGTATACTGTATTATTAGGATGATAGCATGTGGTATAATAGATTTCATGTATTTTCTTCGTGCCAGCTGAGTTTGTTAGATGGGGTGCTCTGCTGTTGTCCAGTAAGTGATGCAGAAGGTGGTCAGGATTACCCATGACCCATCGCACAGTTTGTGCAGTGATCTCCTCTCCACCACAGCTAGAATAGTGTCCAACTTGCAGCCAATCACAGAGCCTGCCTTCCTGATCAGTTTATGCAGTCTGTTAGTGTCACCAACCCCGATGCTGCTCCTCCAGCAGACCACAGTGAGGTAAGCTGCGCTGAGCACAACAATCTGTAGGAAAAGCTCCAACATTTTGCTGCACACATTGAAGGATCTCAGCTTCCTTAGGAAACGAGTGTGCTCGTTCCCCTCTTGTAAACAGCTTCTGTGCACTCCTCCACTTTATCCCAGGACAGACATGGCCTGTTTCACCACACTATACCTTTGAACATGGAAACATTTCTGTTTCAGAATTCTTGTACATCTAAAAGAATACGTATTTATCCAGAATGACCAGACAAAAAATTAAACTATACACTCATACTAACCACTAAGCAAATGCCTGTGTAAATAAAACTGCTCTATACCTTTGTAAAGTAGAAACTGAAATCTTTCGAATTGGAGAAGACTTGAGTAAGAGCTCAAACCTCTTCGCAAACTTAAAGGAGTCCGGTCGTCTTAAAAATAGAGTTAAATAACAATTGGTTGGTTGTCTCATATGATCGGTTTCGCTGTACGGCAAATGAAAGTCATCATATCTTAAAAAGACCTAACAAAACTATAAATCAAGTAAATCTCAGACTCCTGATGGCGCTGACTTCCACGAGTACTCTTGAACATCCCCACTTCCGGTTTCACAACCGCGGCGGCAGCGGTTTCCCGGGCAACCGAGGACCGACAACAAACGAGATGTCACAAAGTTTAACAAGAGCGCGACAAGCGATTGCCCGAAAAAAAGTGACCAGGTGTTACGGTGAATTTGTGTTTATTGATTCTTGTTACTATCGAGATAAACAAGTTAAAGAGCTCCTTTAAAGACATCAGGACGTCATGAGCGAAGGGTGTGTGCGGGTGGCGGTCCGTATCCGGCCTCTGCTCCCCAAAGAAGTCCTCCACGACCACAGGGTGTGTGTGCGTGTAGTGCCGGGGACCGGACAGGTGATGGTGGGTGAGGACCGACTCTTCACCTTTGACAACGCGTTTGGACCATCAGTCAGCCAGGATGAGGTGTACGAGTCCTGCGTCCAAAGCCTGGTGGAGCGTTTGGTCGACGGTGAAAATGCAACCGTTTTTTGTTACGGGCAGACCGGATCAGGCAAGACGTACACACTGGGCAGAAGGAGCCGAGGTAATGTGAAGTTTAACCAAAAAAATTGGTTAAGCTCCAACACAGAGCTTAACCACTCTGACTGATAAGTGACTGATGAGTTCAAGGATTGTAGGAAAAAGGGAACTAAGGGGTTCAGGGGTTTGTTTATTTAATGTGGAAAAACCAACATCTGTGGACTTGAGTCTTTAAACACAGCAGTTTTAGGAGTTTTGTTTGTGCTCTCTAAGGCCCATTAATCATCTGAACTTTCTAACTTCATAACTGTAATTCTCTTTTTCCAAAACCTTCCATAGATGAAGAGGGGGGAATTATTGACCACGCAGCCCAGGATCTGTTCCTATACCTGGCGGAGAAGAGGAAGGAAAGTGATGTTGTGGATGTCACAGTGAAGGTGTCCTACATTGAGGTCTACAGGGAGGAACTAAGAGACCTATTGCAGCTGCAGACCACCCACAAAGAGCTTCGTATCAGGGAAGATGAGAGGGGAAACACGGGTAATCAACTTTTTCTACCTTTACATATATTTTAATATTCAGAGTGGAAATAAAAAAGTAGAAACCATACACTTTCAGAGATGACAAACAGCATCCTATATTTTTGACCATCCATCTGAGTTTCATCCGATTGATAGACCGTTGTGATGTTATTAACATGTGTGTATTTCAGGATAAAAAGCTTGAGAGAGCGCACTGGAGAAATCACAAGTACTGCAAAAGATATTATATACTGTGTAATCATTTACAGTCAGCGACTCTGCGGTGCACCTACTTGTAATAATATGTAAAATTGTTTTCAGCACATTTAATGAGTGAATGATAAATGATCCAGTGAGATTAGGCATTTTGTGTGAATGTCTGCCTACAGGGGAAGCAACAGTCTTGTTTCATTGACTAAAAAGTCTCTTTGTGTGATTCCAGTGGTGGTGGGAGCCAATGAGGTTGTTATCACCTCAGCAGCGGAGCTGCTCAACAATGTAGAGATGGGAAATATTTTCCGGCACACCGGCACCACAGGAATGAACGAGCGCTCTAGTCGCTCTCATACCATCCTCACCCTTCAGGTCATGTTATCCTGCCACAACAGCAAGAACTCTTCCTTTAAGTTTGTCCGCTCCTCTAAGCTCTGTCTGGTTGACCTGGCAGGCTTGGAACGTGCTGGAAATACTGGGAACACCGGTACACAACTGAAAGAGTCTGCTCATATCAACACAGACTTGTTTGCGCTGCGCAACGTTATTCGTGCACTTTCAGAGCTAAGTCGAAATCAGCACACTAACAACTCCTGCAGTGCACACGTACCATACCGTGATGCCAAGATAACTCGACTCCTTCGTGACTCATTAGGAGGCAGCGCCCACACGCTAATGGTGGCGTGTGTAAGCCCCTCCGACCACTTTGTAGCTGACACTCTGAGCGTCCTGCAGTTTGCATCCACGGCCCGATCCGTTCAGAACCGTCCAGGAGAAACACCGGATCAAACAGAGGTTAAATCATGCCCTTCTACAACCTGGCACCCCAGTGATGCTCGACTAGGGGAGCTGGAGTATGAAGTAGAGACACTGAGAGAGCTGTTGAAAGGGAAGGAGAGAGAGGTGGAAACAGAAAAAGCAAAGACTGGTCAGAGATATGAAGAGGGAAGTGACATCAATGCATACTGTCAGACCGAAGTATCTGAACCAGATAGGACAGCAAGCCGAGAGGAAACGTCACAGTACCGTCTGTTGGCAGAGGAAGCTGCTGCTCTGCTTGAGAATATCTCTGGCCCCTCTCCAAGTCCTTCTTTCAGGGAGCGGCTGGAGGATTGGCAAGAGAGACTCAGAGCTGTCAGTTACTCACCTCCAACTCGTATGGAGTGTTCAAAGGAGGAGGGAGACCATTTTGCTCCATTAAACCTCAGAGAAGAGCTTAAAAAATGCCAGGTAACTATAAAAGATTTTAAAAGGGATGTTGCCATGAAGAGATCGCAAAAACTTTGATTACAAGCAATTGATAAAAAGTAACGCAAAAAACCTCAGAGATTTTTATTTGCTTACCTTGAAGCCTAAAAGATGGCTAGTGTCTCCAACATGTGGACATGCCTGTTACATTAAACAACAACAAAGGCATGTAAATGAGCTTGGTGTCTTATATATATTACTGTACCCTCATAGATACCTGTTATTCAGAATAGGAGAAGCGTATTCAGACTGACAGCATTCAAACTGCTGATGGAATTGCCGTTAAAGAACTGAAGTCTAATATGGATTTTTTTTTTTTAAACCACTGACATATCTAATGTAAACTAAGAATGACTGCATCCCGTTTAGATTTGAGGCTGTAGAAAGAAGTGAAGCCATTGGTATATCATTGGTCATTCCTTTGTTTCCGTTACAAGTTGTCAACATTTCGGCTGGAATATCTTATCCTCTGAGAGCTTTTGATAAGGTGATGTGAACAAATGCAGGATGGCTCAAATGGAACTGTTTACATAAACAAAAGCCAAGCTGTACAATTTTATAGGCTTGCTATCCTATCCAGTTTCTCTTTTGTATGCTTAGGAAGCTCTCCACATAGACGAGCAACTGTTGGAGCAGAAAGATGCAGAACTGAGACGGGTAAAGGAGGAACTCGAGAAACTCCTTCAAGAGAGGAAAACTCACCTTATGTCGTTAGAGGAAGAAAAGCAGCGATTACGTATACAGGTGAGGAGGAGAACACTGCAATAAAGAGCTGCTCTGTGATGCAGAAATCAGTATATTTTATTTACGGGGAAAAAAATTAAAAGATGAATTTAAGGCATGTCTGCTGTGTTATCGTTTGTTCTTTAAATGTGCGCCTCTGTGCAAATGCTTAGACAGAACAACTGGTGAACCAGCAGATAATGATTGATCGCCTTCGTGGCGAACTCATGACCTTTCGGGGGACAGCCTCAGGGGCAACAGTGGAAGTGGGGGGGTCTGAGTACAAGAGACCCCACAGTGTCCCTCTGATCACACACAGCTGCATGTGGAGGCCTCCCAGGAAGGTAGGTAGCGGTGGGTAGTGTGTGGGTTAGGTTGGTGTCCATAAGTGAGGGTTTTTTTATTTTTGTTTTTGTTGTTTTTGTTTGGTCTGTTATAATGTTTTTTTTTGTGACTTTTATTATCTGTGCCTGTGCCTTCTAGATTCACTCCAGTCCACCAGCCTATACGCTGGAGAGGGTAATGGCAGCTTTTAAGATGCATGGCCAACTCTTGCTGGCTGAAATCAAGGAAAAAGAGGACGTGTACTGCCCGCTCTTAAAACAGCAGGCAGAGAGCAAAGATGGCAGACCAGAGATGGAGGAAGAGGATGAGAATGACACATCTATGCGCAGACCGAGATTTAGGTGAGAGCAGCATTCTTACTTGTGCAAAAATAAGTAGTAAGTTTCAAGTAACTTACACTCCAAATGCTGACTTAACTAATTTAACTACATGTCAATTTTCTCTGTAATTCTGTTACATAAATACAGTGCAATATGCTAAATTTATTGGTTAAATGAAATTTACATGATTGGTATAGAATCCCTAATGATTAATTATTTGAATAAATAAACATTTGATTTTATATATTTAAGCTGCATTTTATTCACAACTATTGCTTTATGTTTATTGAGGCTGAAGAATCTTTTTTAGTGTATTCTGCTAAACAAGCAATCCCAAAAATCTGAGGCATTAAATCATTTATTCATGTCTAAGGCAATTTAAGCTAAATGTGTAGTGCGAGGATGGACTTTGAAGAAGTAAAAAGTTGTTTTCTTCAGATGCTGCTGCATTTATTCCACGCCGCTTTTGCACTTTGCATATCAGTTTTGGAAAAAGGGCTGGATAGTGTGTTGTGTGTACTTGAAAATCCAGCGACACGCTGCAATTTTGCTGTCAAGGATGACTGCATATTGTGCTGCTAGGCAGCGACCTGTTCAGACAACAAACCACTCTTCACTTGGTTTGTGCAGCCAAGCAAACGTCTCACAAAGGCAAAAACATCTAATGTCAAGTTTTTCAGTTTCTCTTTTTATTCTTTTAGATTTTTTTCGATTTCTCTGCAGGTTTGAACCGGCAGCTAAAGCAAGTTTTGCACTTTTTAAAGTAACCCTCTTGGTTTGATCATCTTCCTCTGCATTTGTCACATATAATGAAATAAGGAGTCACCATGTGATCCTGAATTGGATGAATGAATCTATTTGCCTCATCAATTGTCAGTGAAGGACATTAAACTGTACGGAAAGTGTTTATTTGAAGAGTGTGAGTGGATTTTAATTGAAGCAAATCTCTATATAACGCTGGGATGTCAAACTCATTTTACATCGAGGGCCACATCCAGACCCACTTTCATCTTAAGTGGGTCTGGATGAGTGAAGCTTTCTGTGTAAAGCTATTTAATGACATATTTAATACCTGAGATATCTTATATAGCATGTCTCTGTTTTTCTACATGAAAAAATGTGTAAAATAGAGAAAAGGTTCTGGTAGATCACTATGAGGTGCCGTAAGGGACATTATTACTGAAACGCTCTCACAAACACTACTGAAATTTTATCTCTGAAGGAAAAAAGTGGCTACACAGATGTCTACTCAGCAACCTGCTAGTAGCCTAAGTGTAGCAGCTGCATTACTTAACAATATATTAGCCTCAGCATAAGTCAAAATTTAGAATAGAAGGAGACAGGCATTATCCTGGTTAATTTTTTTTGGCATATTTGCTTTTTGTCTTTTATAGCAAAGAAAAAAATATCTTAAAACCATTAATAAAACCAGGGAGAGAAGGCTTAGCGTTCCTCCATTTAGCACAATGGATATGATATTTACTCAAAAGTATGATGATGTCAACAATGTCTGAGACACCCAATGCTCGACGATCCATATAAAAAAATATATGATGTAATTCAAATGGTGGCACATCATTAATTTTTAGGGAAATCCAATTTTTTAAGTCACACCAAAAGGATTGTGTGATAGGGCATAGAAAAAAAAAGATGTTCTAGGGTTTCATTTTCATCAGTACAAAAAGAACACTGATCCACCTCAAAGCCAAATCTCTTTTTTAGAAATTCTGCCACAGGATTCATTTTGTTTATTACTTTAAAGTGTGTTTCTTTAACTTTAGGTAGAATAGGCCATTTCATAAATTTCGAGTATGCTTTATCCAGTGTATCTGAAATAACTATATTAGAACCATGCCATGTAACCATTCTGTCGTAACTATGAAATATTTTGTCTTTAAAGAAACTACTAATAAATTTATTATTGCATTTTCATCAAACAGCTGACATTGTCCTAGCAATAAATTTGGGAGCACTGATGAGAAATTATTGTATATCATAAAGTTTTTAATCAAATGAAGCAGAGGCAGTGGGGCCAGTTCACAAAATTTGTTATATTCTCTTTGAGAACAATTTAGACAATATTTTGAACAGTCTGTGTAACTTAGAATGACACTGTTATCATCCAACAAATCTGTTATGAATATAATCTTTTTGTTTAAACCAGACGCTCTTGAAAATTGATTTTTGATTAAGTGTTATTACCCTATTATTCCATAAGGTTGAATTATGGGGAGAAGTTGTGGGTAAATATCATTTTCCAAAAATGCAAAGTCTGTTTGGGAAAGTTCGATATCTTGATTGGGATTTTATTTACCTCAAAATCACATTTCAAAATGAAGTCTAATCCTCCTATTTTATTAAACAAGGATCGTGGGATGTGGAACTACATAGAGTCTGGCTGTGACAGACAAGATTTTAACCATTTAATTCTAATGGTGCCAACCATTAGATTAATAGTGGTTAATAGTGTTAACAGTTGAGTTGCCAATATAAAAAGCTTAGGGGAAACAGGACATACTTGCCGAAATCTGTGTTGCAACTTGAATCCATTCCTGGATTCAAAGAAGCTAATATATTCTTAAGTAATGCGGCTGCTTCGCTTAGGCTACTAGCACAGGCGTCCCCAATCCCCAGGTCCTGGACCAGTACCGGTCTGTGAGTCGTTTGGTACTGGGTCGCAAGAGTTGAGACTCGAGTTTGAAATTGATGGTTTTCAGGGTATTTATCGTTTTTTTTTAAATTTTTTATATCATTTATATTGTTAACTCGGTTTCCCATGTGTTATGAATAAATCTTTTTTTTTTTGGTACCGGTACTGGTTTTATTTTATTGTATTTATCCACGACACCTTAAAGGCTGGTCCATGAAAATATTGTCGACCATAAATGGTCCGTGATGCAAAAAAGGTTGGAGACCGCTGTACTAGCAGGTTGCTGAGTAGACATCCTTGTAGAGTTTTGGAATTTACCACTTTTTCCATTAGTTTCCTTGTCAGGAAACAACTTCCTGTTCAGCGGAAATGCCTCTCGTTTCAGTGGAGTGTGTGAGAGCGTTTCAGTAGTGTGTGTGTGAGAGCGTTTCAGTAGTGTGTGTGTGAGAGCGTTTCAGTAGTGTGTGTGAGAGATAAAATTTCAATAGTGTGTGTGTGTGAGAGCATTTCAGTAATAATGTCCCTTACAGCACCTCATAGATGACTGTCCTGATTGATGGTCTGGCCCCCAGACACCTCTGCTATATGGTATTATAACATATGTATTGTAAATACTCATAATTTTCGGTTCTGTGTGTATTATAGGCCTGATTGGTGTTTTGGAAATGTTTCAGGTGTTTGATTTACTAAGTCAAGCTTTGATTCAGAAAACTCAGTATAAAGTTAATGTCAAACGATGTCCGTGGACTAATAGAATGACATTTCTGCAGGCGCTTTTTAAACCAAACATGGACCAATCAGCAGAAAAAATCAGCTCTGGAAGAGAAAAACGCAGAAGAAAATCACACATGTGGTGGAAAACCAGGACTACAGCAGCCTCAGAGAGCCACAGGTACACTTTACATGCACTCTGGTTTGCACTTGTCTGTAGGCTTATCCTTTTTTATAGTGATGGCTTTCTGCCTTAGAACCTTTCTATGACATTCTCAGCTATTCTTTTCTAGCCATCAAGGAAAACCAGCTCAAGCAAAGATCTACGAGGAAAGCAAGAATAAGAGCAAGCGCTACTGAGAGAAGGATCCGAGATCTGTCAATCAACATGCGCATGAAGGAGGAGCTCATCAAAGAGCTTGAGCAAACTGGTGTGTTTAGATAATGTCATACTTTGTATTCTGCTCTCTGCTAAGTGAGGAACTATTGAAGCCTCTGGATTTATTGGTGTATCGAAGGAAGTATGAAAAGCTTTATAACCAGAATGTCCTGCAGCTTCCAGAAGCATCATTAGAAATTCAAAGATGACAATGACAAGAAGATTGTAATGATTAACTTACTATACACAAGCTTATCCACGACCTGCCTACACTGATCATCTCAGAGTCATGTTTTCAAGTAATGACAGTATATTTCTCTAATGCTCAGGCTGATTCTTGTCTACCCTAGATTAATTTGGCTTTTGAACTGAAAACCTGACAAATTTATTCATGTTATCTATTATTTTAAACAGTACATGCATCTCTAAGTGTGTGCTTTTGTGTGGTAGACAAGGAAACTCAGTCTTTGGAAACACGTGACAGGCAAACTGAGGACGGCAGAAAAGCCGGCGTTTTTGCAAGACTTTCCCTGCAGAGACGGGAGTTGCGAGTGGAGATGTATCACAGCCTGCAGCACATGAGAGCGCAGAGAGCACAGCTTCAGAGCAGCCTGAGAGAGACCAGTGAGAATAACAAAGAAGTCCAACAAAATGAAAATGAGGTTAGCTGTACAGATTATTTTAAACAACAATAAAAAATAAAGAGATGAACTTATTAAAATTGTTTTTGTGTGAGCATTTTGCCTTGTTGGTCCAAATACTTGATGGGGCAAAATGAGCAATACCAAGGAAAAATAGTTAATAATTAGAAAAAAAAAATCAACTTTAAAAAGAAACAATAGAGTTTTTTCACAGTTTTACAAAATGGTAAAAACATCCATACGCCTAGCTTTTTCTCACTTTCATATTTATCTTTGCTTAACGAAAGTTTAAATATGAGTCAGCTTTATAATCTTCACATAAAAGCAGTTTGACCTTTATCTTATAAAACCTTAATGTATTTAAACTAATCAGAAAATGGAGGAATAATATAATAATGTGATCACCTGAAAACTGTTTTATCATTAAGAGAAATATCAGATTTGAACAATATATGACAAATAAGGGGCGGGGGGGGGGGGTTGTTTTTTGTTTGTTTGATTTTGTTTGTTTTTACAGGAGCAAAGTGCTGGAGTTTCAACTGTATATAAACTGTATAAGTTAGAGGACACAAATGAACAGGTAAAACATTGTTCTTGTTCCCCTGAAATAGTCATTTGGACAGTGCGTTTAGTTTAGTTTAGTTTAGTTTAGTTTAGTTTAGTTTAGGAAACTGCAGGTATTAAACTTCTTATAGTGTTTTAGGGTCTACCTTTGTCGTGTCTTCATCAATCTCCTTTTTTGGCCCTTGTGCCCCTTCCTTTCCTCTTCCTTCCTTCTTCTCCCTCCCTCACCTTCTCACTGTAGCTGTGTTGTAGTAGTTGGCTGGAGGAGGAAGAGGAGCATGTTCTTCAGAAGAGAGCAGAGCTGAATGAGCTGGAGGAGGAGCTGAAGAGGAGAAAGGAGGTTCTTATTCACAGGGAGGCGTGTGTGCGACAGAAAAGCAAATTAGAGACCAAGAAGCTGTGCTCCAGTCAGGTCAGACTGTGTTTGCTATGGTTTAATTTAAATACTATCACAAGTCACTTTATTAATTACAGTAAAAGATTAGGTGGACACATATAAATGGTAGAATTAGGAGGTTTATTATCAATTTGTTTTTCAGGCTCTGAGTCAGGACCTGCTGCACGTGTCGATGCAGTTGGAGTCGCTGGAGAAGCAGCTACAGAGGAGGAAGGCAGGAGTTACCATGAAGGAACTGGAGAAAGAGAGAGACTTGCTTAAAGAGAGAAGAGACGCTCTGGACGCCCAGCTGAATGACAACCAAGTGCTCACTGTGGAGGTCAGAACAAAGGGAGTGTTGTGTGTATGGTGTAAATTTGACCACGATGTATTTCTGGTACATGTTTAGGTGAAGTGATGTGTGTGCGTCGTGATGTAGGAGACGCATTCCCTTCTCCAGGTGGAAGAAGCTATCGAAGCTCTGGATGCAGCACTTGAGTTTAAAAACCGCTCGATCCAGGACAAACAGAAGAAGCTGTCGGCCACAAACTTTTCTTTGCATCAGTCACAAAACGCTGAACCCGCCCAACTCTGTGATGTCGCCAGAAAACTTATGGGCCTGTCGCTGCCTGAGGCACTGGAGCTGCTTGTGAAATATTTCAACAAGGTAACGTAAAATACTTGCATACATATGTATATGCGGAATATTCTGCTTTACATATAATCCATATACATTCTCCTTTCTAGTTCTATATCTTGTTCCGTCTTCAAATCCTCTATTAATTCTCTTCCTTTTCTTTCCCATCATCTCAGAGTTTGATAAAAACTTGTTAATTTACCTGTAAAAAGTGATTTTATGGTGCTCATATGGAATCTGAAAGCTCTCTTTTTCTCCTTCTGTTTCATCCATCCATCCATCTTCATCCGCTTTATCCGAGGCCGGGTCGCGGGGGCAGCAGCCTAAGCAGAGAGGCCCAGACCTCCCTCTCCCCAGCCACCTCCTCCAGCTTATCCGGGGGAACTCCAAGGCGTTCCCAGGCCAGCCGAGAGATATAATCTCTCCAGCGTGTCCTGGGTCTGCCCCGGGGTCTCCTCCCGGTGGGACATGCCCGGAACACCTCACCCAGGAGGCGCCCAGGAGACATCCTTGTCAGATGCCCGAACCACCTCAGCTGGCTCCTTTCGATGTGGAGCAGCAGCGGCTCTACTCTGAGCCCCTCCCGGATGGCCGAACTTCTCACCCTATCTCTAAGGGAGAGGCCAGCCACCCTTTGGAGGAAGCTCATTTCTGCCGCTTGTCCAGAACATATGGTCACAGGTCTGGTGTGTGATTGTTGCCGTTTTCCCTCTGACATTGTTGTGTATTGTAGCGTAGTGTCCCTAAAATATAAAGAGATCAACAGGAGGCAATTCGGGTGGTTCGAGTGTCTGACTAGGATGCCTCCTGCGTACCTCTAAGGTAAGGTGTTTTTGGGCATGTCCTACTGGGAGGAGGGCAGATCCAGGACATGCTGGAGAAATTACATCTCTCACTTTGCTTGGGAATGCACTGGAGAGAGAAGTTTGGAAGCTTGCTGCCCCTGCAGCCCAGATTTGAAAAAGAAGCATAGGACAGTCAGACAGATGAACATATGGATGAATGCATAGTCCTACTTACAGTACTTTGTCATCACTTTATCAGAAAGTTTATTATCCTTTTAGGTTGTTTGTCTTCGAGAGACAGAGCGCCATCTACATTTGCACTGTGAAGAGCTGGAACTTCAGGCAGAAGAGCAAAAGATGTTGTTGAGAGAGATGGAGGCTGCTATGCAGCGTCTGGCCTTGGATACAGATCGCAGGCTCACCCAGCAACACAGAGATCACCAGTACAACATCCAGCTGCTGCTGCAGAAACTTAAAGGTGAGGAAATTTGTGGAGCCTGGATTTGAACTTGAATTTGTTTTATGACACTTGGTTTCACAGTATGTCTGCATATGTGTTCAGAGGGTGCTCCAGGAGAGGCAGAACAGGCAACACAAGACAGACTGCAGCATCTGGAGAAAGAGCTTTACTTCTACAAAAGCACCAGCCGGCAGCTCAAAAAGAAACTCAGAGTGATCCTCAGCGATTCATTGCAGCATAATGATCAGCCTTCTTGCCCACAGGAGCACAAACCTATGCAAAAGATGCAGATTTCTTCAAATGAAGCCCAAACTCATCCTGAGGAGGTTCAAACACGGACGCATATTGTAACAACATACAAAAAAATACATGCAGAGAAAATGGACAAAAAGATACACAATGATTTCTGTATGAACAGAAATGAAAACCAAACCAAGTGCCCTTCTTCTTCTTCTAACAGCCAAACCCTCAAAAAGACAAAAATGCCAGAATACACCCAAATGCACACACCGTCCCTGGGGAGGAGAGTAGGAGATGAGTCTAGGGAAGGTTTGGAGATGACACCAGTCCGTTTGTGTCGCAGGGATCTGAAGCAAATCACTCCAGCTGACCTGCAGCTCTCTGGTTCTACCACTGGGAGGCGACCGTCTGCTGTGGGTATGAGCACTGAGTCAATCCTGGAGGACTCTATAGAAGTCCTCAGAAACACTGACAGGTGATGTATTTATGTAGATGTCAGGAACAGTAGTAGATACCAGGAAGTAAACAAAGCTGTTTGATGTTGTAAGGCACTCAATACAATGACTTAATGGGGTTTTAGAGTTCAGGCCAGAAGAACTTAAATTTCTTGTAACAATAATTATTTTTGTTTTGCTTTTTTTTCCTGTTTTATTTCACCTTTCTACAACAGCACCATCATAAAAAATAAGAACTGCAAACTGTTGACCTGGAGAGATGATGCAGTAAAATCTCATTACTCTTTGCTCAGTCCTTTTATTTGTCTTCCAGTGTGGTTAGAAATTTTATCCTACACGTTTTTGTTCTTCCCACATATTTTTTGGGGCGGTTCTAAACCTTTCAAGTTTTCAAATGTCTTAAATCATAAATGTGCCATAAATATGTTGGCTCTTTTCTTGTATTTCTATATATCATCTTATACTTATCATTATCCATATCCACTACATTGATGCAAAGTCAGTCAGCAAGCTGGAACATTCTCGTAAAACGTAGACAGTTTTCATTAATTAGTTAAAGCAATTTTGTTTATGGAGCACTATCTTTAATCCTTCATTGTGAATGCTTAAGGTTTAATATGCTGCACTGTTGCAGGATTATAAAGCTTTTTGATGACAAGTTTGTGTGCACTTTATGTATGTAGTTTTATGTTGATTGCTGTGTAAATTATTTTTTTTTTTATATTGGTTTACTCTTTTCACAATCTAATTTATTAAACACACTAAAATGCTCACCTCACTGTATTGTCTTGATTATCTGGGCTTATTCAAACCTAATTTTGGTGTGAGGGTGCTGTGATCTTTCTCTTCTTGTACATTTTATACACTAGTAATTAAAAAAAACTTGCAAATGCGGTCACTATTTTTTAACATGCAATAAAACCAACATACTTGACAATGAAATTTATAAATTAAGAGCATTAGAATTAAGGGGCAATTACTTTTGCAGGTAGGTTTGGATAGTTCTTTTCTTAATAAATGAAATCAACCTTTAAATTTACATTTTATATTTACTTGGGTTATCTTTGTCTTTATTTCAATTTGTTTTACGCCAATGCGTATTTCCGTTCGGTTGTCATGGTGATATGATAGTTGTTGTAATATGACGAACACGGCAGGTCGTGATTGGACATCCGACAACTAAGGTGTAACCATGACAACAGGCTAAACTAGCTAGTTATTGTGCGATAATCGCTTAGTATTGTGCAGTTGGCCTTAAAAAGCGATTCGGTCAACAAACTGCGCACATGCTGCACACAATAACCGATATATCTGCACATATCGTAAACACTTCTTTTTCTGCATCCGCATCGCAGAGGATAAGGGAATCCCAGCCTTTTTCCTTTTTGACACCGCCGGGCTTCTGTACTCTTTTGAGACAATCGCTGGTAGCAAACCAACGATAACCCTCAGCCCCTTTGCGAACAGGTGAAAGTATCCTCAGACAGTTTTCATGTGAGTAATCCTTCTTTAACACAAGTCAGTGAGCGCATTGAAAAAAGGAGATCAACGTGAGTCCACGCGTGTGCTTTTAACTGACATGGAGCGGCACTTTTGCACTTGTTTAGGAGCTAACAACACTGGCTAAGCCTTAGCTGTTACGCTGCTGCTATGCGATGCTAATCTAGCTGTGTCCACTGACTGTTTGTAACGGAGCTCTTTAAATGGTTTACATTTATCTGTACTACTGTCTGTTGTCATAAGATCACAGTGCTGACTCCGTGTGTAGCTTTGTATGGAGGTGTTGGCTGAAATACTGTGGTACTAAAAAAAACCCAACAACAAACAAACAGGTTGTGAATATGCGCTAACTCGTCATTTTATGATCTGCTCCAAGTTATTCTGAATAAATTGTTGTACATTTATCTGCTTTCATCGTTCAGTTTGCCTTCTCACGATGGCATCGTCTGCAATGATCACAGTCCCCACCACAGCATCCCGCTTTGCCCTGCTACAGATAGATTCAGATTCGGATTCGGACACCTCCGAGTCGGGGAAGGCTACCACCAAAACTGGACGGGACTCCTCTGGGAAGCCCCGACAAGGAAAAGCAGGTGCAGCCGGAGGGAAAGCTGCTCAGGGCAATGACAAGAAGAAAGACAAGAAGAAGAAGAAGAAAGAGCAGCAGCAGAGTGAGGCAAATGAGGTGAATGAGTGAGATGAACAGCCTGCAGCTCTCTGCCTCTTACATATGTGTTATTTTGCAGTGACATGAAGAAAGATCAGGCTCTTCAGTCGTTTCACTTCTCCTGAAGCGAAACTGCAGAGGGCAGGGAGAGGTAAACAGGTTGTGGTTTGCTTTTGGTGTGCTTGCTACTAATGAAGTGAAACAAATGCTGTTCAGATGATAAGTGTGTAAGTTGTATTTCGTTGAGGTCATTAAAATTTTATATTGTAAAGTGCAATATTACAGAGAAAACCTCAAGATTCAGACAAACCCCTATGATTTTTAACATCATTTGGTGATGGTTGTGAAACTAGTCTCTGGTTATCAGCGCTGAACTTATCTAAAGCTATTACATTGCAGAAGCCTACATACCAAGTCCTCATAAATGAGCATGCAGGTATGCTTTCTGCCTTCTTGGTGATACTGATATCTGGCCAGATTTTTATTCAAAGCTGCCAGTGTGATAGCTTTCATCTTTAATAAATCAAATAACATAGGAGTAGACAGCATCCAGTGGATTTTGCAGGCTAAATTCTTATATGGAATTGGTCCAATCCCAGGAAAAAATACTAAATAATAAAAAATTGGTTTCAGCACTGTTAATCAGTTCAAAGTGCAAGTTTTCTGGTTTTTTGTTCTTGCATCTGACTGTAGTTAGACAGAAATTAGACTTACATAAGCAGGGAGTTAAAACATGATCTTGCCTCAGAATCTGTAATGTGAAGATTTGAAGACTGTCTCCTTGGACTCTGTAAATATTAAAATATATATATTTTATTGACCGGTTCGTTAAAAAACAAAATGGGGAAAATGAAAATGTTCAGCTCTGAGAATAACAATGTTGCAGCACAATTAAAAGGAATGTGTTCAGGCCCAACACCCACTTAAACACATTAACAAATCCTCCTCCACTCCACAGACACAAACCACAGGCAGCATACATCCTGAGAAAACAGACCGTTTTTTGTTGTTGCTGCGCGCACATAGACAAGTTGATGGTTTCTACAGCTAACAATAGAATTTGTGTTTATGTCAATAATGATGACATCAGGTTGTTTTATCTTTCTTTCTATTAGTTGCGTAATCTGGCCTTCAAAAAGATTCCTCAGAAATCTTCTGCCCCTTCTCCCTGTATGACGCTGTCAGGAATAGCCGGTGAACTTCTCAATCCTACGTCGGTGGAGCAGGGTACACCGTCGGAGGGTTGGCAGCAGTGGAAGCAGAGAGACGAGCAGGTTTAGAAATGACAGCTACTCACATTACAGATGAGTGAGATAGTAAAACTTGTATGACTGTCCCTCATAGAGCAGCACAGGCCACACCTGACCTTACACACAACACGAAAAGTCCCTAAAATTCAATGTTCTTCCTTTTCTTTTAGATAACCACAGAACTATATGAGGCAGACTTGGAAAAGGCCTTGATTTTAAGTAAACTGGAGTATGAACAACAGAAGCAGGTACGCTGCAGAAAAACACTAATATTCTCATTTTGAAAGCCACATTTGGGGGCACAGATGTCAGAGCTGTATGTTCACTTTTACGTAAGTCGCACATCGCTCTGACACACCTGTGACATGTTCACTTAAATTATAAGTCAGCGTATTACCTTATTCCTTCTTCATGTTGGTGATTAAAGGATCTTGTTTTAAATGACTCTGCCTGAGTTTCTGTGGGTTAAAAACAAAACAGAATTTATTTCTGGTATGCAAAGCAAGAACTTGAGCCAACTGAAGTCAAAGCATCTGCTTTCATTCATCAGAGCAACACAAACACGTCCTCGCCAAAGTCACGGTCAGGAAAAGAAGGTGGAGGCAAGAAGGACAAAAAGAAGAATCAGCAGGCAAAAGACAAAAAGACAGTTTCTCTGCAAGACTTCCAGGCTGAAAGCAGTGCAGGTGAGACCAGCTTACAGATTACTTTAAAGTCTTATATATGGACCTCATATATATGATTTACTACATTGCATATATTGTTATTTTCTTGTAACTAGTTATTGCATTGTGTTTTCTCTTTGCAGAAAATTTAAGTAGAAAACAAGAGAAAGAGGTGAGCAGGTTCCACTCTGTTTACTTTATATTTTATAGATTGCACAGAAATGTGAATGAACAAGTGAGGGCCGAATTAAAGATAAAATTAATTTTTTAATATTTTGTTTGTAACTTAAAAAAATGTGTAAAACATCAACCAAATTACCTTCCAGGACTCCAGAACGGCTAATTTAGCACTGGGAGTCGGGCAGGACGAACGTTTTTTTAATAAGTTGGAAGATGATGTCAGTCGGATAATCCAACGGGAGAAAAGACGCGAGCAGTATACGAACAGCCAGGGACAAGAAGTCAGCACGTCAACAGAACACGAACCAGTGAGTGGACACAAGTACCACAAAATACTCGCGTAGCTCTCTCATTAACTCGGGTATGAAAGTGAACAAAGTTAGCTTTTCCTTTGAGTTTTGGTTAGTGATTAACTGCCTCAAGGTACATCTGAAAAGCTGTTTGTGAAACTGCATACATGCACCATTACCAAAGTGAAGTTTCTTTTTCTTTACTTGCTGATTTTATTTCATGTTTTTCTTCCTGTTAGGACCCCAGAGCAGAGCAGCTGAAGTATGAGCTGGAGAAGAAAGATCAGGAAATTGATAAGCTGAAAAAAAACATTTCACAGTGGGAGGTCAGCAGCCATAAACAGTTATCTGATCTAATCATCTTTCAGTTTCAGAAGGACAGTGATTTATTTTTTTTCTTTTCCTGTATGATGAGTCACAAAAAGGAAATTTGATTTTCACAGCTGTAGAAACGGTGAAGTTAATCAGAAAAATCTCTGCCATGTTTAAAGCCAAACAGGTTGGGTTTAGTGTTGGTTTGTCATCATCATTAAGATGTTCTTACTCAACTCACGTAGGCTGTGGGCTGCTATGGCACTGTTAGTTAGTGTGGACTTCTTCTGTTAAAAAAAAAAAATGTCTACATATTTAATTTTCAACTGCATATTTTTATCACTGGACTCTACTAGAGTAGCTTTGGATGATTCATAATTCAAAAATACAATTTTTCTCATTCTTGCCTTTGTTCAGCCCTCTTTGACTGTGTGAAACAAGCAGTTTTAGTTCCTCTCCCTGCGAGCCACTTTCCGCTGATTTGCTGCCCTTTAAACAGCACAGGGCCAAAGCTGTGAGTCTGAGATAAGCACGTTAGTGAATCCACTCTCAGTAACACCATACAGAGACAAGAGTTGAAAGAAAATGTCAGAACGTGAGCATGTTGATCAGTCTGAAGCTTTTGGCTTATTTCACTCGTCGTTGAAACTATATGCATGATTAAATATGAGCGTTCCCCACTGTAACACTGTGACAGAAAAAAGGAAAGGTGACCACACCTGCAGCCAACACTGTTGTGTCCAGTGCTACAAAAAGAATCTTTCTTTTTGTCTCTGCAGGTAAAATACAAAGAGGTGAAAGCAAGAAATGCTCAGCTGCTGAAGATGCTGCAGCAGGGAGAGAGTGAGTTTGATAACACAGTAGATACAGTTTGGTCCAAAAGTATTTGAACAATGACACTTTTTTGTTGTTGTTGTAATTTTTTCTTCTGTACAACAAGACAACACTTCTGGATTTTAAATCAAACAATCGAGATGTGGGTGAGGTGCAGACTTCTGCATTAAATGATTCTGAAATATCGATATATTTATGCACAGTCCTCCATTTTCAGTGGTTCAAAAGTAATGGCAGAATTGACTGACTAGCATTTTCATAGACGGCTAAGGCCGTCTTATTTCATGACAAATGAAGTAGATGAAAGCTGCTGTTCTAAGTGAACTTGCATTTCTTACGGTAACTTTTCCCTCCAACTCCTAATAAGATATCCAAAGAGAAGTCATTGTAAGTAAGAGTGACCTGCAAACAAAGGTAGGATTGACTGAATATAGAGGAATATGTATGTTGTTGTCTGCAATTGCTAAACAACGAATGTAATGTGTTTGTCTGCGATTGAGTCACATCTCAATTGTCTTGATTTAAAACCCACTGTGGGGGAGAATCATTGTCCAAAAAGTGATTGTTTTGACTTTCCTTTCCTGATGAAGATATCATGTGTGATGTTTCTGTTCTCTCTCTTTTTCAGTGAAAGACAAAGCAGAAATTCTTCTACAGGTAGAGGAGCTACTGCATATTAAAGAAGAGCTGTCTTCACAGGTCTGTAACTGTGTAACCACGTATGTGTGTGTGTGTGTGTGTGTGTGAGAGAGAGAGTGTTGGGGGGGATTCTAAATTTGTAAATCTGTGTTTTTCATTTTAATTAGGTAACATTATTGCACGCTGCCCTCGAACAAGAGAGATCTAAAGTAAAAGGACTGCAGTCAGAACAACCAAAGCACCAGGTGAGAGTACAAATACTCTTCTGTGTGGTATCTTCATTGTAGGAGAGAAGAACTGGTGTTAAAGTGTTGTCTCCATCTTCATTTACGCTGAACTGACTGCATACTAGTTTATGATCATGCATGCACCTCATTGCTTTCGTGGATTTCTGTAGAAACTGTGGAAACCTAACAGAAAAACCTCAGCCTGTAAGGCAGGTAAAGTCAGAAAGTGTCAGCGTAAGTAAGCCAAAGGACAGAAACATAAAGAGTTTACTCGGCCCAGTCAGGGGAGCGGTGAGCTTAGATTCAGGTCAGAGCATTTGAACACTTTTTCTTTATTTTTAAGTCAATATGGTTTCTTTTGTTTTTCTTTTTTCCCCAGTTGATAAAGACTGTGTTTGCCTCATTTATGTTCTGTTTCTACATCCATCTTTTGACTTGAATTAATAAAAGCACACAAACAGATCTGATATCCATAAATAATTGTGTCCTTTCTGCAATTTTCTGTTTCACAGGGAAACAAGAAAGGGAAGAAGGGCTCAGAGGCAGATCTATGAAGGTTTCAGAAGGAAAATGCCTGAAAACAAAATGAAATAAACAAATGAAGAAACCCCTGAAGAATATTCCCACTATTGATCAAAATCAGGGTTTGGTTTTTTTTTTTTTGTTGTTGTTGTTAAATCTTAGACTCCTGGTCAGGCTGTTTTGCATGCCCTCCCTAAACACACACACACACACACACACACACACACACTAACAGAAAAGGCTAGATTTGGCACGATATGTTACACAATTAAATAAGATTTACAAGAGGCTTTCTGAAATAGCGACAAACGTTCTAAGCTTGTGTTAAAGTAGCTGCTTGGCACATCGTGCTGCCCTCTTCAGGCCTTAGAGTGCCTCTGGATCTCCTGTACTGTTGAAGGCTCTGTGCCTGATCTTTAAAGGTTTTGTTGCCAAAATGACAGGTGTGTAATGCAAAGTTGTTTTGTTCCTTTATTTTCCCACTGTTAAGTAAATAAATTACTTTTTCAGTGAAAATGTGGTTTTACTTTTTGTGTGTGAAAGCATCGAAGAGCCTGGGAGGAATTAAAAAAAAAAAAGTGTAAAAGTGCCTCAAACAAGCCAAAAAAAAATTGCATTTGAGTCATTAGATGTTAACATGAGCCAGATGAAAATAAGATACTTTAAATCTGCTTGGGTCAAATCTCAAAAGGAAGAAGGATTTAAAATTTTTTAGACTATTGTCATCAACTACCACTTATCACCTGTGCGTCACCTTTGGAGGCTGTTAAAATTATAATGATTCATTATTGTTGCTGGAATGAGAGTTTAAAAGTGAACTGAGAGCATCTAGGATTTGAACTGCTGTCTGATTTTTATGGTGCACTATATCTTTAAGTTAAGTCTGGTTACATAACTGGCTTATTATTAAGTATTTTATTTTTGTTAGTCGAAGTGCACTCAAAAACTGTTATAACAGGCAGCAGGGGCATCAGATCTGTGCATAGTAGCAGCTAGGTGTGGGCTTTGCGTGTCCACCTCAGTGACCGGTGTGGCCTCAGCTGGCACACATCCGCACAACTTATTGCCGAGTCATCGGGACAGACACGCAGCCCGCGTCGGGACGGTGCGCTCCTGCTCTGCACCGTGTTTAAAGCCCCGCGGGCCGGACAAGTGATGTCGGCAGCAGTGAAAGACGAAACACCGAGACACCGCCGCAGGGCTGAAAGGATCCACGTTACCGTCACAAGTGTCACGGAGAGCAGAGACTTCATCGTTAGAGGAGACTGCACCGTCAGACAGGTCAGGGAAGCACAATCAGCCAGCTGGCCTCAGAGCCTTGTAATAACAGGCTGACAACGTCACTGAGACTTTTATTTTCATGCCATAATAGACTGAAATTAATGTTTTTGTTAATTTACGTGGCTAAAGAACTAAGAGGGCGGATTACTAAAGGTACTAATGTGGTATAGAAATTGGAATTGGACTCATGTGCAGCCCAGAGTGCTAATACAGATTTATTATGTGAAAAGTGACTCTGCACGTTTGAAGATTGTTTTGAATGGAATAACTGTGTGAAAAGAGGCAAAACATTTTTTTTTAAAGTATTTAGCACGAAGTTGAGTACTAGCTAAAGAGTGGCCCTGAATCCAGTAACAAAATATAATTCAAAGGCCACTAGTTACATCTGGACGCCCTTTAAGTTCGTGGTATAGATTCAACAAGGTGATGGAAGCAGTTATCAGCATCTTCACATGACATGAGAGCATCACATATGTTGGTGTACATCACAGGGGGTGGCTGTAGCTCAGGAGCTAGAGCACGCCATCTACTAATCAGAAGGTCGGTTGAGTCCCTTTATATCTGTGTGCTAAATATCCTGGAGATACTAACCCCAAGTTGGTTTCTGATGCATCTATCAGAGTGTAGATGTGTGTGCGTATGTTTGATAGAAACCAATGAAGTACAGTGCTGCTGTATGAATGGACGAATGAGGCATGTTGTACACAGGAACCAGTCCATTTATCATTTACATCCATGTTTGACATCCCAAAGGTGCTCCACTAGATTGAGGTCTGGTGACTGTGGAAGTCATTTGAGTACAGTGAACTCATTGTCATGTTCAGGACACCAGTGTAAGAGGATTTGAGTTTTGTGGCATGGCTCCTTATTGTGCTGTAAACAGCCATCAGAAGATGGATAAAGGGTCGCCTTGGGTCACAGTGACCACCAACTGTACTCAGGTAGGCTGTGGTGTTTACGTGAAGCTCAGTTGTACTAAGGTACCCAAAGTGTGCCAGTGAAATATCCTCCAAACCATTACTACACCACCACTGGCGAAACCTCCGATACAAGACAGGATGAATCAATAATTTCCTGTTCTTTACCCCAAATTCTGACTGTGTACCATTTGAATTTCACAGCAGAAACTGAGACTCTTCAGACCAGGCAGTGTTTTACCAATCTCATACTGTCCAGTTTTGCTGAATCATACTTTTAGTTTCCCATTCTTAACTGACAGGACTGAAACCTGCTGTGGTCTCCTGCTGCTGTAGCCCATCTTGTTCAAAGTGTGACGTGTTGTGTGTTCAGAGACGCTCTTCTGCATGCATGGTTGTAAAGAGGGGTTATTTGAGTTGTTGCGTTCCTTTCAGCTTGAAGAAGTCTGGCCATGCTCCTCTGACGTCTGACATCAAAAAGACATTGTCACCCAGATAATGACCACTCCTTGGATATTTTCTCTTTTTCAGATCATTCTCTGTAAACCCTAGAGACAATTATGTGCTAAAATCATAGGAAATCAGCAGTTTGTAAAGTGCTCAGATCACCATGTCTTTCTCAAACAACCATCGCCAGATCACCTTTCTTTCCTATCCTGATGCTCTCAACATCAGCAGCATGTTTGAACTTCAGCAGGTCATTTTAATCATGTTTTCTACTCTAAATGTTTGTGACTGGCTGATTAGATATTTGTGTTGAACTAGCAGCTGAATAGTTGTACCTAATGAAGTGGCCACTGATTGTATGTTATTATATGTATATGGGTGTATTCAGTGGGTTTACTGTTGTCACACAATTCAAAATCATATATTGGATTGTAGTTACTGGTTTGTTAATGTGTATATCACTTAAATCTTTCTGCCGGAGATGATTATATTACATGTACGCTTCATTTATAGTCAAACCGCATAATGTACCATGTATGGAATGCCAGGACTGCCAGAATTAATTAATTAAATACACTATTAAATAATTAATTCAATGTGTCAATAATTAATTAATTAAATATGTCATAAATATGTATTTAATTAATTATTGACACATTGAATTAATTATTTAATGGTGTATTTAATTAATTAATTCTGGCAGTCCTGGCATTCCATAACTATGTAGATTCCTATTTTAAAATCTTCAAAATAATAATTCACTGAATTCCTAAAATAAATGGTGTGAAGTGCAGAGTACAGTATTTGCTTCCAAAAGATAGTAAATTTAAGTAGAAAACAGCATAACATGAATCACTTAAAGTAGAAGTACACTGGAACTGTACTTAATTAAAGTCTTGAATAGTCATACTCTGCTACATTGAATTACTGTTTCTTTCACTGCCCTCATCTAACGGTTTTGGTGGAGAGACCCCAGGATGGAAGTTATATTGGCTGGTGCCACCCGAGGCCCCTGTCTGGATATGCCCCTGGTGTCTTTGCTGCTGATTTTTGAGCTGGTACAATGGGGGTTATCACCATTAAATACACCATTAAATAACAATGGGGGTTGTGTGTTTCTGTGTGTGCAGTTTAAATGGGGTCTGTCAGAGCACCTGGGAGCCTCAGCAGAGATGCTGGTCCTGATCCACTCCAGTCGAGTCCTCAAAGACTCTGAACCCTTGAGTCACCTTAAAGGACTAAATGGGTCGGTACGCCTCAGCATGATCCAAAGGTATGAACAACCTGCTCTGTTTATGGCATGGGTTCATGCCGTCGCTAGTAATAAACCAACATTTGGTATTAATAAAGATAAAGAAAATAAAGATATAGGTCCAGATTTACTAAAAGGGGCAAAATTGTGAGTCCAATCACCCAAATAGTGCTCATAGGCATTTTTACTCTTTGCTGTTTATTGTGCATATTCAGAGAATATTCCACATTTTTATTGGCTCTAGTTTTCAAAGTGCAACAATACAGAACTTTCACTTTTCTATTTGGCTTTTATAAAATGTCTGTGCAGAGAGCAGGGAATATAGAAATAATATATAATATAAATATATAAAAATATATAGCCTCATGAAAAACTACATTAAAACCCAGTAAAATAAAATATTAAAATAGAGCAAATAAAATATTAAATTTGTTAGAATTTAATGAGTGTCTTCCCAAAGCAAATCAAATAAATCTATGAAAAAGCCAAGGAAACTACTTATTACTTTGGAAGCTTGTGGAAGGTGAGATTTTAGAGTACAGGGAGAACATTACATATAAGTCACATTTTAGGTGGTATATATAAAGCACTGGTAGTGTCTCCCACTTTGTCCCACATCAACGTACATTTTGCTCCACATTTAATTTGATAGAATCTGATCACCCCACCATCACATGAAGTATTAAACAAAATATTATGTCTGCAAAGATTCTCAGTCAGAGATCTGCACACTCTGTCTGCTCTTTAAAATTAAAATTGTAGAAGTAATTTTAAGTAATAAGTAACTTCTGCCTTCAGGTTCCTTTGATATACAATCTATTTATACCAAACTTATGTAAAAAAACAACAACTGGGTATCTGTCTTAGGCCTCAGCATTCATCTGCTCCACCTCCCACTGACCCAGACCTCCACCCTGAACCGGATAACATCACACCTTCCCCTACTTCTCCTCTCTGCCTGGGTAAGATGTGCAGAACACGGGAACTCTTCTCGCCTTTAACTATTTTCATAAATCTAGTTTGTGGTTCTCATTTCTCCAGACTTCTCTGTTTGAGCTTCAGCTGCTGCTCTGTACTCAGCTCCTCAGTGAACTTATAATCTGTCATTCTGTTGATTCCACCTTGTTTCTGTAGTAGAAGGTCTGGACAGCCTTGTCCTTGAAGACAGCGGGACTAGCTTCTTCCCGGAGCTCCAGCGCCAGATGGAGAACAGATTGCTGGCTGACCCAGAAATGATGCATCGTCTCCTGGGCAGCCCCTTTGTGCAGAGCACCCTCTCCACCTCTAGCCCTCAACTTATCAGAAAGCTCATTCTGTCTAATCCCCAAATTCAGCAGCTCCTGCAAACAAACCCAGAAGTGGAAGATATGCTTAACGACAAAGATGTCATAACACAGGTGGGTATAGTGGATGTCAGAGCACTGTAACATCTGTACTAACATTAGAGTAGACACTTGCAAAAATGTTGTTATTTTAACCTTTCTAATTTCACTGCAGTATGAGTACAGTTGCTTCCTCCTTGCCTGATTTCTCCCTCCGATATTTTGAGTATGTTTTTGCACTTATCTCTCTTTCCAGTTGCTGGAGCTCATCAAGAACCCTGACATGATAGAAGAAATGATGAACAATGAGGACAAAGCTTTAGAAAATTTGCAGTCAGAGCAGGAAAATCCTGAAGTCATTACTGACCCAGAAGCAAAATTACAGGTGTGACTTTGAAAATGATGATTATTATTAGGTCAGGTTAAACTTATCTTGTATGCTTAACATGTTTTCTTTTTAATATCTGCTTTGCCTTTTACCAGAAGGTAGGAGCATCTGCATCGGTGACTACATCACCCAGAAATCACCACATACTGGAGGGTGAATCCAATCAGACGTTCTCTGGTCACTCGACAGATCCTCTCAGTGAACTGACTGCCACATCCAGAGCTAGGTCAAACTCTCAAAGCAGCATCACAGCAGGCATGAGCTTTATGCTTGAGGCATTCTTAGGTTATATGTTTTTAAATGTGTTAAATATTTTAAAGATATCATTGAACTGCTTTTTAAAATATTCTATTAATGGCTTCCTGCTTCAGGCATGCAGTCACTGCTAGAAGAGATCACTGCCAGTCCAGGTCTATTGGAGAACCTGCTGTCTGGGCCATACGTCAGCAGTCTTTTAAACTGCCTTAGCCAGAACCCTGACCTGGCTGCACAGGTGATGCATGGACACTTTAATTCTTAAATGTGCAGTATTTTCACTAGGCAACTGCAGGACAACATTTCCTTCTTCCTAAACAGCAGAGATGTCTTATATAGTTCATCCTGCTTTCATTTTTGCATTGTTGCAGATGCTTCTGAGCCACCCTTTGTTGGCTGGAAATCCTCAGCTGCAGCAGCAAATGAGAAAGCAGATCCCCGTCTTTCTGCAGCAGGTCTGCTTATTCCTCTAACTGTTAACCTGCTGTCTTTCAGCTGGATTAGATGTCTGCAATACATTAGGAACACCAATAATTTTCTTGTTCCTGGACAGATGCCATGGTTTTTCATAAAATCCATGTAGATATGATCATCTTTAGCAATGCATGAAAACGATTCCACTCTGACTCCGTTGCTCAGTGGGTATGATTAATAACTTTGCCATTATCAATAATGTGCAGATGCAGGCTCCAGAGCTGCTCTCGGCCATGTTGAACCCCAGAGCCATGGAGGCTCTGTTGCAGATCCAACAGGGCTTGCATACTCTGGCTGCAGAGGCTCCAGCTCTCATACCTGCGTGAGTAAAAACAACCTAAGGAGATCTATTGTGGTGGAAGAACTGTGTTTCAAAGACAGAGAAACCTTATCGCCAGTCTTGCCCGTCATGCAGGAATGCTCTCGGAAACACTGGAACAGGTATCGGTGCCGCTTCTGAGCATCCATCTGACTCCATTCCGAACAGCCAATCAGGAAGCGGCCAACAGGCTGCTTCAGCGACAGAGCAGCAGCAGCAGTTTGTACAGCAGATGCTACAGGCCCTGGCTAACACTAATAACGAGGTACTAGCTTATAAACTTTTTGTCTGTCTCCAACGTTGAGTCTCAATTTAAAATATCAGTAGTAAATAGCATTTTGACAGTAAATGAGAATTTCCCTTAGGCAGGCAAATGATACACACCTTTGATATTTAGTGATTCAGCACTTTTAAAAAACTACGCAGTATAAAGAGTGACTGACTGTTTGATATCAGCTTGCATTAACAGCTTCTGGTATGAATGTGGATATATTAGAGTACCACACTACATCTCATGGAGCCAAATGATGTCTAATTTGTTCAGTGGTTTAAACTATTTTACATTTTAACCTACTGAAGCAGGTCCAGCTTGGCCTCAGTGACTCAAATTCTAGTTAATCGTTAAAGTTTCAGAGTCAGTGCTTCTACTTGTGGATCCAACATTTACTTAGTGGGTTACAGCCCCGGTAGAGTCGCTGTTTTCTGGTGGGAAGGAAGGTGGCATTAGTCTTTCCCTTTCTTAGATACTGATGCTTTTTTCCTGCAGAACCACTAAACTCGGCTGAGTGCTGCCAGCATTCAGCTCTGGTGGTTATTGCCACAGAGCTTTTTGCTGCTTACTCCAGTGTGTGAGGGAGTGTGGTTCTGACAAACTTATTGACTTATTTCTCTTTTTTGCTTTAGATTTTATTGCAGTGCTCCTTTTTTATCCCCCGCAGCAGCGACTTGGCCATCTCTTTGAGTTCAATTATTCATAAAAACTTTTTTTCATGCCGCCTCCTCTCCTTTTCCTCCCCAAAACATTTACCTTTGTTTCCCACATCGCCTGGACTTTCTTCTGATTCATATCCAGATGTTTTTGCACCTGAAGGGAGACTCATACCCAAATACCCAGAAACAAAACTGGGTGTCTGGGTTAACAAAATCACTAAATCTGGGAAGGTTTATTAATTTTTTCCAATTTGTTTAAAAGGATTCACAATTAAATCGCTAATTATGATCTCATTTTGAATTCTTTCACACATTATTATAATAAGTAAGACTTTAAATAACTCTCGTGTCATGTTGTGTCAGGTCCATCACACAGAGAGAGAGTTCAAGGAGGAGCTGGAGCAGCTGAGCTCAATGGGCTTCAGAGATGGGAAGGCGAACCTTCAGGCCCTCATCAGCACAGGAGGAGATCTCACCACTGCTATACAACACCTGCTCAGTCTCTGACACGTATTCATCCGTGCACATATACACTGCAAAAGATAAAAACATAAGAGAATAAAAAGCCATACTTACTTGATGCACTTTCAAAAACTAACTTATATCACACACATAATGTTAAACTCTGTTTGTTGTCCTACACTTACACTTTAAACTTCAGTCAAACAAATTAAAGGTCTGAGGATGGTGAGCGCTGTATGCATTTATGATATTGAGGTATACAGGTACATGTAAAACTGACTGAGAAGTGAGACAACAGGAGGATTTTTACATCCTTATTGTCCTTGAAGTGTGAGTGTGTGGGTTAATATTAGAAACAAGAGAACACAATGCCTTTCACTGTCTTATATGCACCAGTCATGGTCTGTGTAGACTCAAAATTCCCCAAAAGTTGAGACACAATGTAAAATGTAAATAACACCAGAATACAATGATTTGCAAATCTATTAAACCCATATATTAATTTTAAAAAATGAAAAAAAAAAAAAAAAGTTCATTTCATATTTGATGCTATCATCCTTCCCAAAAAAGTTGGGTCAGGGCCATGTTTACCACTACGTAACATCCCCCTCTTCTTTAATCAGTCTGTAAAAATCTGGGAACCGAGGAAACCAGCTGCTGGACTTCTGGGAGAGAAATGTTGTGTTTCTTTGTTGTATTTTTCACAATCCTCCAAATCTTTCCAGTTGGTGAAACATCTGAAAGGCAGGCCAGTTCAGTACCCAGACTCTTCTACTGAGTCGTGCTGTTGTAATAGATACAGTCTGCATTAGCACTGTGTTGCTGAAATAGAAAAGCTGTCATCTGGATGGAGCATACGCGTCTCTAGAACCTCTACATACCTTTCAGTGTTGATGGTGAATTTTTAGATTTGCAAACTTCCTATTCCTACACACTGATGCACTCAAGTATCATCAGTCATTATTGAACTGAATGGCGATAACAAGCCAGATAGTTTTAGACAGTTTTCAGCGTCCGTATTTTCCAGAATTTCAAAAAAATTTTCTGTGGTCATTTTTGTGACCACAGAAAAAATTTCCACGTTGTCCATTTTAGACGAGCTTTGAGAAAATGGCATGGATCTGGATCACTGTTTACATGCGGCTTCTTTGTTGCATTTAACCTGCATGGTGAACTGTGTTCACAGACAATAATTACTGGAAGTGTTCCTGATCACATGCAGGGATTTCCAACACAGAATCATGTCTGTTTTTAATGCAGTCCAGATTTTTTAGAATTTTTTTTTTTTTGGATAATATTATGACAAAATATTCAAAATCTTTGCATTGTGGGAAAGTATCAGAATTATTCCACAAATTGTAAACTCACTTTTTTGGTGAATCACAGGCCACTTTTACTTCTGACAAACTCTGCCTCTCGAAGATGCTCTTTTTATACTCCATCACGTTACTGACCTGTTGCAGATGAACAAAATCAGGTGTAAAATGGGCATTCAATGTTTTGTTTTTCTTTACTAAAATGTACTTTTCTGGTCTTCTGTTGCCCCGTCCCAACTCTTTTAAGATGTGTTGCTGCCATCAAATTCAAAATGAGCTCATATTTTTCCAGAAATAGTGTGCGTTTATGAGATTTGCATATTATTGCATTCTGTTGTTATCTACATTTTACACAACAGCCCAACTTTTTTGGAACCAGGGTTTTTATAGACTGTAGACATAAAACAATGCAAGTTTGCAGAAATATTCACATTATATTGTTATTATTATCAGAATCGGAATACTTTATTGATCCCTAGGGGAAGTTATTTAATCTCTCTGCTGCCACACTTTAAAGCTCAGGCCTCTTCATGTTGCCACCTGGACAGTCTAATGAAAGCTTTTAGCACCCTGAGACAGTCAGATGTCCTGGATGCACGCAGAAAATTTGCACTCTCATTCTCAGCCAACAGACTGAGCCAGGAGTGCAATATGTTCCGTGATGTTCCCACTCTGTCTAGCTGCTACTGCGGCTTCTGCACCACAGGCTCTAAAGACCGTAAATAATTACAAAGTTTGTCTTCGAACGTAGACTCAGTTTCAAAAGACGTTCAAAGAAAGAAGATGACTTCATGCAAAGTCCAAACCTGCTTGGAGGTCAGTGTTTATCTTGAGGTTAGACGGGTACAGAAAGTGAGGTTTGCACAGCCAAGAGAAAAACACATCAGCCATGAAATGCCTGATGTGATGCTCTCCCTTAAGCTTGAGCTCTATGCTGCAGTATTTTTGCACCATAAGGAGCAGGCTCATTTATCTCCTTGTGGATTTCACGAGCAAACAACAGACTGAGCAACATCCTTTAGACGACTCGTGGCTCTGTTGTAAACAGAACTATTAAATGCTGTTATTTACTTTGAATTCAATTCTGTTGTTTCTCATTTATGTAAATACGTGCTATTTGTTGCTGAATTTATGAGGCTTTGTATAAGATGCGTTTCCTCCACGCCTCTGTGTTCAAATATAATGTTCTGCAGTTGTTCTGCAGTAGGGTCAAACAGCAGCATTAGTTTAGCAGGATTTTCTGTGGCTACAAATTGTTCTTTTTGGGTAATAATGTATTAAGAATAAGTATGATTAAGTATTTAATCCACAAAATTGTAGAAATGACACTCCTCAAAGCTTTTCTTTCTAATATCTAAACTTGCACTACCCCACTAGAAACACTAGGTGGCATTTAGAGTCTTTTAGTATGGCTTGTATGAAAATCAATTTGAATCTGAGATGTAGCAAAGTAGGTCAAAGTTAACTCATTGTTATTCTCATGTTATTGCCTACAGTATTAAAATGTAAGCCAGAAATCCACATCTGCATGCTCACCTCAGCAAGATATACAAACTGGGTCAAATGTGTTATTCCACTTACTGAAACTGTACAGAACTGAACAACATTAAAAGATGTCCTTAAACTGAGAGCGTTCCTCTGCTTTCCAGTCCTGCCTTTTGGGGGCTTACAGCTACCTGACACACGGGACACGTACTCTGTCATCAGATGGATGCGCTCTGCTTGACAACCTGCATGTGTTTGTCTGTTGCTGCCAGACTGGGGGGGGGGGTTAATCTCCAGCAAAGTGTGTGTGCGGCTGAATGTGTGAGATATGAGAGTAGCCGGGAGGGGGGGTTTCTGGATTAGAAGCTCCAAAAATATTCGGGTTGAGGTTTGTAGATGAGTCACAACACTAAAACAGCTCCACAAGTGCAGGTGTGAGAGAGTGTGTCTGAGTGTTTGGTCTGAACCTCACAGAGGGGAGCAGTGAAGTGTTCAGGTTACCGGTAAATCTCTTTAATGATTCGACTTTGTCGGTGTGAAGATTTCAATCTCAGAAGAAACTTGTTATCCTGAAAATGATAAAGAAACATTCTCAGCAGAGAAGACACTGTGCAGAGTTTTCTAGGGCTCTAAAACAAACAAAGATGCTTATGTGACCTGACTATCTTTGGGTTTGTTGAGGACAATCATCAGGACAAATAAAGAGCTTCCATGTGTTTATTCCAACTATTAAAAAGATCAGCATCACATCATTTATGATCAAACACTCGAAACGTCCAGAAGTCCAGGGTATGTGGAGAAGTAACAAAAAATGTCCAGATTGAAAAAGAAGGCAAAATTAGTAATGAAATACGTGTGTGTTTGTTTTTTTAGTTAAAGGATTCAACTAAAGGAGATTCGTCACATGTTATCACTATGAAAAGAAGAGAAACACAGAAAAACCTAAAAGCTGGTCACTTAACAAAAAACAATTAGCACCATCTTCCACTCCACACAAATCTATCTGGCCTTAATTAAGCACTCTGGTCTTAGCAGTACAGAAGGGCGGTACCTAAGGCAGGACACACCCCCACAGGCAGAAATCACAGCAGGCTGTAAAAACCTTTTATCTTCACCATGGCATATTCTTAAAAGATACCATCCTTAAATACGCACAAACCGGTTCAGTTTCAAAGCTTACACACAGACACACAATGCATTTATTAGAATGGCACCTAAATATTTAAATGTTTGCAACCAGCTAGAACTCTCGAAAATCACACATACTGTGTATTCCACTCTTCACTAAATAACTAATGAGCTCGTCAAGCCTGCCACACTCTGTGGTTTTACATCAACACTGAAACAGTGATTTATTTCTCATCCTCACTACAAACCAGACATTAATTAGCTATTCAAAAGGGACTAGAACAACAGTAAAGGCCACACACTCTGTGTTGTTCTACTTAGGCAAACTGCTGCTTTGAGCGAGGTGCTAAAATGTCACATGACAGTGTGATTACACTGATGTTCATCATCTTAGTCTGTCATGTTGACATGTTAATCATTTCTATCACAGCTTTGTAGGTATTTAGTTTTCAAGTATCTAAAAATATTAATTTTGTCCTAATAAAGGCATTAATCATACTTTTTATTACTCCCGAGGCCTTTAAATCTATTACAAAATTTACAGAGATGTTATATTTCTGTAAAATTATATAGATTTAAGTTTATATAAAAATGGGCTCCATGTTGTATTTAACTTATTCACCTTACATGCTAAAGATGCCCACAGGGACCCCAGAAGGAGACACCACACCAGCCTCGTGGAGTCACAACTTTCCAGTCTTTGTCCAAGCCTGGGTAACTAGGAGGGGAACATCAGGAAGTGCATCTGTGACAATATAATAATCGAACATGTGGATTCATCTACTGCTCAACTGTTTTCAAGATATTCAAGGGAAAGAGGGAAAAAAAACAAACATCTGATGTCCACTGTCAAGCTCGTGTGCCAGTCCATCGAGTAGATGCTGGATGTTTTCAAATAAGTGGAAACTGTGACTTCCTGGTTGCTGTGGAGAGCCACACAGGGAATCACCAAAGTCATTCAAATGTAATCCTGCAGGATCCTGAATATTTGCTGGAATATCAATGTTACAGCTGCTAAGGATCCCATGTGGTCTGTTGTGGTGGTCAAGGCTACGCTGGTAGCCCTGACCTGTGGTCGATTAAGTGCCTTTCAACCTCCACAGCCATATCATCGATGCCCCTCTGGATGTCCAGTGTCAACACATTCTCCTCATCAGACGGAGCCTCTAAAGTATCAAACTGGGAACGCAGCATGTCGGCTTTCATATAGTGACCCCTCCGGGCCACCATCCTCTGGTAAATGAATTCATAGTCACCACGAAGGAAAAGAAAAAAGACATCAGGAGAAGCCGGAGGGAAGATTTCTTGGTCTGTCTCCGAAGGGGAAGTGAGGGCTTTGGAGCCATGGAGGAGGATCCGTCTGTACTGGTGCTTCAGTGCAGAGCACACCAGGAGAGCATCAGAGCCTGAACTCCTCTCTCTGTGACAGGAAGACATGAACATATGTACAAAGTTGCTGAGGGCAGGAATGAATAACTACTGAACTTCAGACTGGAAAAAAATAAGCTTAAAGTAAACTTTAGTCTCAACAACTAAAGAGAAAAAGATTGACGCAAGGACGAGCGGATGGAGAAAAATAAGTGCATCTGAGTGTGGAAGAGTTAAGCAGGACTCTTTGATGTTGCCGCTGACGTTTTTAGAAAATGACGACACACTTTTTGCTTCTCCCTCACCTCTTTTCCTCACTTAATCTGTCTTTACTCCCCAAACTGTTTTTCCTGGCTCTCTGGTTTTCATCTCAATTTTCACGACCATCGTTGACATTTTTTCTCTCTCGACAATTTCATGCCTGCACATTCTCACCTCGCTCCTCTGCTCTTCAGCTCTACCTCTAAACCCATCATCTTCTCCTTTATGTCATAAAAAATACCTGTTTTCATGAAACGTGTGTGTGTGTGCAGTTGGCTTACAGCAGATATTAGGGTAAATTGCCACAAAACACTGGTGGCCATCAGTTTTACCCCCTCAGTCACAAGATTTTTAGAAAACTTGACCTCTGACCTTGACTGTGAGGTCGAGGTCAAAATCCTGCCGCCTCGCCCTCCCTTTTGTAACCTTTGATGTGATGACAACACCCCCCACATCAACCTTTAAAAGGCTGATGGGTTAAAAAAAAGCCAATGTTGTGTCCTTTGAAATGATAGAACTTATGTATTTGTAGAGATTGGTTAGCGCTCACCTCTGAATGACTTCGTGTAGTTTGAGAAGCCACGGCAATCTGTCCTGCAGAGACAAAGAAATGCAAACACTAAACACAAAAACGGATTTTTGTTGTGCACAGCTTAGTTTAAGATTGTGTATTTAACTCCTTTAAATAGTTTTCCAGCTGGTGTGTATATATATATATATATATATATATATATATATATGGCTAAAAGAAAAGTCACCACATGGATTTAACTACACAAATAACTAAGAGCCTTCCGCTGGGTAATTACTGTGGTGAATATCGTGTTTCGGCTGGCAACAAATGATTTAACACAAACTAACGACGTGAGCAGCTCCTCATTTGTTAAAGAAACATTTTGAAAGACATTGTGGAAAAAAAGGGTCAAATTATTGACTTGTATCAAGCAAATTGTAAAATACTCGTGGCCTTAAGAAAACCACATATCAGTGACGCTAATTGGGGAAAAAGAGCTCTGATATTCCTGGAGGCAAAACAAAAAGGTCATGTGGTCTGAGGAGTCCAGATCTACTCTGTAATGAGTGGAAAGAAAACGGTAAAGGGTAAGAAGAGAAGAGGATGAAGTGCTGCAGTCATTAACCCCACTCCCTACCACACGAGCCTGTTATGAAGTGGGGTTGCTACAGCTGGTCAGGTCTAAGGTTCAGCAACATTATGTGCCCAAAAATGAGGTCAGCTGACTACCTGAACCTACTTAACGATCAGGTTTTTCCATTAATTAATATTTTCATCCCTATTGGCAGGGGCATATTCCAAGATGACAATACCAGGATTCATCGGGCTCAAATTATGAAAGTGACTATGGAAGCGTCAGACATCTTTTTAACTCAGTGACTGGACACCACAGGGTCCACCTTTAAAGCCCACAGAGAATCTTTGAATTATGCTGGAAAAGACTTGAAATCTTGTCTGTTTCCTTCAAAAAGACATTTGATGACCTTCCCTGTACTCTCATTTACAAGTTAGAACACTTTGGTATCCGTCAATGAAGATGTGATTTAATGACTATTACAATAACTTCTGGGTAACAGTTTTCAGCAGATTAAACCCAGAGAAGGTACTTCTCTCACTTTTGACAATCAAACATGTGGTTCAACCTATGCAAGCTCCTCAGGAACACAGAGGCTGCACAGATCTGACTCACTCCCTTGCATGCAGGTTTCTGAGCGCGCTCATGTCCTGTTTGGTTACGCCAACCTCAACCTGCCAACTCTAATAGTAGCATGAAAGACACATTTTGCCAGAGCCTGACAGTAATCCTGTATTTACATTTCTGCTCCACTCCTCGCACATCATTTATTCTCAAACTGCCAACTGTTGACAATTTTTAAAATATGCCAAAGGGTTGGACGGAGCACGTCCCTGGGTAATTCTCCTCGCTGTTCAAAGCAGACCTCTGAGTGGGAGGTTATCATCTGCCACCAAACACCGCTACCGGTGAACTGCTGCCAAATGCTGGCGGGGGCTCCTCTGCCTGTAAGCCTGTATACTCGACTTTGGCAGGAAGCCAGACAATTGTTTGGAGGGCTCCCTTTATTTAAAAAGTCAGCATGGACGGGGAGGAGATGAGCCCTGAACAAACAGATAATAAATGACTGAACTGAATTTCAGGACTGACGGTTGTTATGAAAAGTTCAGCATCGCTCCCTGCTGCTTTCACTGTCTGCACGACTGAAGCTCCCTCCGGCTACTTGTGGATTTTGTGCATTTCTGCAAGTCAAACAGAGTTATTTAGTCCTGACAGAAGAGAGACTGAACGCCATAAATGATTGACATGTAAGTGAAGCAGACAGAATGCACACACACACTCAAACACACCTGGGCTGACCTGATCTGTAAGCGCTTCACCGCGAGACATCTTCTCGATGTTCTCCCGTGGGTGGAAGTCATCCCCTTCGTACAGGGGCCAACCCAGCTGATGGGTAAACACACATGGACAGAAGAGTATTAGGCACACAAGGAACCAAGAGGGAGGTGTGTGTGTGTGTGTGTGTGTGTGTGTGTGTGTGTGTGTGTGTGTGTGTGTGTGTGTGTGTGTGTGTGTGTAGGGAGGTTGTTGGTTAGAGTTGAGGCTACTTACCTTTTCAGATAGGAAGATCCCAAAGGTGCTTCTATATTTAAAATAAATAAATAAAGAGTATCAAGGACAAAACTGGTTTAGCAACATTTGAGAAATGTTGCAATAAAACAACTGTCAGCATCCTTTAATATCATAAAAATATGATATTATTATTAACTAACTGTGAAAAGATTCACTTTTTTTGGACCTTCTCTTTTAGCTGTGAGAATTTTCTACTTCTTTTTTGTGCTGTTTTCACTGTCTTAAGACATTGTTTTTATGTCTTTATTTGGTGTGTTAACCACATTGAGTTTACATGTAATAAAATGTGTAATATAAATAAAATTGCCATTGTCTGTCAATATAATCTCTATTAAACAGGGTATCGTTATATACTGATGGTTATAATGGTACAGAAACAGCTCATTTACTTTTGTTTCACAAAACTTATGCATGAAATACATGAACATACTGTGTACATACTTTCCACAACCCGAGACTCCCATTATGATGTAGATCATCCTGGTTGTGGTTCTTCATGCACTATATTTAAAGCAGGTTTTTCCTGAAAAGGATTAAACAAGAAAAAGGAAATAAATATATCTGATTGTAAGATTTTAGAGCTTTAAAGTTTAAATCAATATGAATAAATTATTGTAAAAATACATCATTAGAAGTGAAAAGCACCCACTGAACATTTTACTTAAGTCAAATTAATAATGACAATCGTGAGAACTAACTGGCCATTTTATTAGGCACACGTGTTCAACTGCTTGTTTACACAAATATCTAATTAGCCAATAACACAGCAGTAACTAAGTACATCAGATGTGGTCAACCTGCCGAAGTTCAAACGGAGCATCACAAAGGGAGATGAAGGTGATTTGAATGATTTTGAATGTGGCATGCTAGTTGGTATCACGTGGGCTGGTCTGAGTTTTTCAGAACCTGCTGATCTGCTGGGATTTTCTCACACAGGCATCTCAAAGGTTTACAGAGACTGGTCTAAAAAAGAGAAAATATCTCATATGCGTCAGTTCTTTGGGATGGTACACAGTCAGAAATCTGGGGTAAACAACATGAAATTCTTGATCCATCCTGTCTTGTATCAGAGCTTTAGCTAGAGATGGAGTGGAAATGGTGTGGGGGATATTTCACTGGCACACTTTGGGCCCCTT